GCATAAATATTAAATCCGAAATTTATCCGAATTTCCTATAAATATAAACCTTTTTTCCTGTTATTTAATTAATTATTTCATAAATAATAATTGTATTAATTTTGAATAATTAATTTTCATTTGTCTTGTAGAGCCATTGGAAGATATGTATATATAGTAAGATTTATTCAGAAATTAGTCCATGTAGTTGTTGCTCTCAAATGGCTTTAACAAATCCAAATAGAAAATTTTATATATTTCATAAATATTAAGAGTTTATTGTCGATTATTGCACTATTGGGGTTTGTTCTTTTAGCTGGGCCAAAGCATAGAGTAAAAAAAATAAATTCCTTTCTTTGTCATTTATTAATGAATTAGTTGAGATTTTTAATAATCAAACTAAATTTTAACATAATACAAATACATAAAATAATATAAAAAAATAAGGGTTAGCTTCATTCTATGCCCAATTGCTAAAGCTTTCGATGAATTTGTTGAGAAATTCTTCGAGAAAGTTTTTTAGGCGTAAATCTCCGTAATATTTATGACACCTACGTAATATTCTGGTATTTATACGGGCCGTTTTGACTTTAAACTGTAATATATCAGTCAGCGGATATCGGTTATAAAAGATAAACACATGTCATCATGTAGCCCAGTATCAAGGCTTTTGTTCGGTAATAAGAATGTCTTGATTAAAAAATCTCTCCCTGCACTACAAATCGCGATCGAAGTCAAAAAAAAAAGGAACTTTTTTTGGCCGCGAAATTTTTCGGAATTTTTACGTCAAAAAAAAAAATCTTTTTTTTTTTGACCGAACGAAAGCGGGCTACAAGATGACTGTTTATCCTTTTAGAACCGATATCCACCGATATATTGCTGTTTAAAGCCGTACGTAAGTGTCGTAAATATTATGGAGATTTACGCCTAAAAAAATTTCCAGATGCTTTATGCAAAAAAGATATATATATTTATTATATTAGCAAATCCAACCCTAAATAAGCATGTAATAGACATCCCAAATATGACAAGTGTATAAGTGGACCGATCTTTTCATTGGCTATTAATCATATGATTTAGCAGTGCTTTAACTCTGCTTTAATGTAATGTCATGCGTATTCTGTAATTGTATGATTATAGTAATTTCTTTCGTAATTTGGATATCGAATATTTCGGTTCACTATCTACATCTGCAAAAAAAAATATATATATATTGCAACGTTAATATTTATTTATTAAATAAATTAACGAATAAAAAATAAATAATTAATAGAATTATTATGCATAATAATCTTGACAAATCTTTTTTACTTTATTTTCTTTGCACCCGAATCCTATTTATATTTTGTGACGTGACATATTTGTGTATTTTAAACTTCTATCTTTCTTAAAAAGATGGCAACTAAAGTTCCCACAGAAATATTATTAAAATTTTAAATAATCTTCAATCATCATCTCAATCAACTCAAGATTTATATTCATTATTATTGGTTAATCGAATTTGTTGTAAAGTTACTGACCTCTACTTTGGTAATTAACCTTGGGTCAAGAATATCTTGCAGATAATGGTAAGTCGAAGAAGAAAGCATTATGCATTCGAACATTTATATCATGTATGGATGCTCAAGATGAACTTTACTAATTCAAAGTGGATTTAAATTATCATCATCACCACCTCAAGCCACTTTTGATTATCCATCATTTACTCATAAATTTATATTTAATAATTTAGTTGATTTTATTTCCATATATTCATCACAAATTAGTTCAAGAAAACCGAGAATATTATTTAATGAGATATGGAAATTATTAATAAATCGTTGTAAATTTGTGGATTCTTTTATTGTCAAGAACAATCATCAATATTATAGTGATTTAATTGGTTCAATTCTCGAGTTACCTGGTGCATCGAAAGTATTTAAGAAATTAGAAAGGTTTACTTCGACAATAAGATGGAATGATAGAAATGATAAACTAATGATTAAACCAATATATAAATCACTAATAAAAATATGAATTAGTCAAAAAGAAACATTAAAGAGTCTTCGCTTAGAATCAGTAAAGTTTCATTATTTCAATGGGAAATTATCATCAATTGGCTAATTTATTTCACTTCAAGAACTTTATATTAAAGATTGTTACGGATTGGGATTGAAATGTTTATCCTTGGCTTCATCATTCACTCAATTGAGTAGTTTTCATTATTTTCATTCAAGTCTTAATAATTGGTATCCTCTAGCATTTATTATAAAATTCTAGAAACGGCCAATAAAATTTAAGAACTATATGTCTAAAATTAAATTTGTCAATTCCACTTGAACTATTTTCAACAATTTTTGAATTATTGTACAAAAATTACCGAATTAACTTTAACTAATTTAAGTCCTGAACAAGTAATAACGATATTTAATAATAATTTTAATGAATTAAGAAGTTTTTCATTTGATTGTGGAAATGGATTTGGATTGGATGCTAACGAATTATTATGTCAAATGGCCGAAAATGTACCAGAATCACTTGGGACTATTGAAATTAGAATGGATTATAATAACCCATGGATATTTAGTGCTGATAGTTTAAGAAAATTTTGAAGGGTGGCGTTGTAAAGGAGAAGAAAACAAAAGATTTATGAAATTACGTATCGAACCTATAAGAAGAACGAGACATTATCACAATGTACATTAGAAATAATGGGCGATGAACATTTTAAAGTTATTGAGGATTATGGGATTCAATTTAAATGCAAAAATATTTCAAATTATCTTTTTAGTAATTTGTGTTATTGATTATTATTTTGGTAACCATTACAACTATTTTTTTTCTTCGACATAAAAAATGAATCTCGTTCAACTCAAGATTAATATTCGTCATTATTAGTTAATTGAATCTGGTGTAAAGTTATACTTTGGGAAAACCTTTGTTTCAAGAAATATTTTAATAAGGAGTTGAAAAAGAAAGCATTATGTATTCGAACTTATATTACATATATGAATACTCAAGCTAGAACTTTATTAATTCAAAATGGATTCTATTTATCATCATAATAATAACGGAACTGCTTGAATATTATTTCGTGAGATAGATAAATTAATAATAGATCGGTGAACATTTTTAAATTGGCGAGAGCTCCCGAAGTTTTTTCAAAAAATTTTCTTGGCGTAATTCTCAAGTTTTCTGGTGTCCAAATTATTTAAGAAATCTGAAAGTTTTACTTCGATGATAGGAAATCATGAATTTTTTTCATTATACAGTATGAATCATTAAAATCAACTTGTGGTGATATTTTTAAAATGGATTTGAGATTGAATTGTTATCAAGTGCAATTATTGACAAAACTTATTAGTATTCAAAAACGTTTAGAAAATTTATTAATTATTGCAGATTATAATCAAGATTTTATTGACTAACGGAGTATCTTTTAAACTGTATTTTCTACATATATTATGGCGGGAATTAAAAAATTCATTTTCATTTATACATTAAAATATATGAAATTTTATATTAATAGTTTTATACTTATGTTATTATTAAAAAAACTTTTCAATTCGAAAATAATATTTATTAGTTATTTGTTTTTGCGTATGATTTTTTCATTGATATTAAAACGAATCTAACTTATTTAAACAATAGCGTCAATTCCAAGAATGCATTAAATTTATGAATAAATACTTATTATTTCTTTATTTTTTATCTGAAATGGTTCAAATAGATAAGTATTCCTAGAGATGTAAATTTGGCGTGAATAAAAGATTATTCGGACCTCAATTTACTGACCAAAGTCAAGGCTACTCAGGCATCGAGTTTAATGAAATAACAGACACCTTCCTATATCAGAAAACAAATGATCAGTATTAATAGCTACGTTTTTAACTCACTTAAAAGTAATTCCCACATGGAGTAACTTGACCCTTGACTGTTCAATCAAAATGAAACTAAAAAATTCAATGGGAAATCGGACACAAAAATAGTTACGAAAGAATAGGATAATTGTGGATAGATACTAATTAAGCTAAAACTTAAACTCGGCGCTCACATGGAAACAGCTCACCTGTCAAAGATTTCTCTCTGCAGTGAAGTATCCATTAGAAAATTCTAACTCAAACTGATAAACGAAGAGCTTCCTACACTATCAAATCTCCACAAAAGATATCCGTTTCTATATAAGGACGACTGGTGTCCTTTTTGTCAAGTTGAGAGTGAAAATGTATTCATATTTTCACATGTGTAGCCCAAATAAGTATAAACCCATTGATTGAATTGAAAGGAAACTTCAAAAAATTTTAGTGCAAATATTCTACAGACAAAACTTAGTCTAGAATTTCCCAAAAAAAAAAAAATCTAGATCTATTTTCAAGTGACTTGACCTCAGAAGTCAACATTTGATGGAGTTTGATCAAGTTTATTTTTTAAATATCATCATTATAGATTGTAACTTGTAATTACTGACTCAAATAGTTCTGTGGGTTTAGTTAAATCTTTGTACGAATTTGATCAATATTAACTGATAATTATTTATAATTTGAATTATTCTTTTTTTTTTTTCTGATTTAATCGATCATCATTTAATATTTCCAAATAATAAAATATATTATGGTAAACCAAATATTCAATGCAGATTCTTGTTTATCCTATTAAATTATGTTAAAAAAAATTAAATTACAAGAGTAATAATGAAGCAACGAAACACAACATTGCACTGTTGTCCTCTGAATATAAATTAACTTTAAATTATTTTAATAAATATCGTAAAAATTATAGAGTATTGCATAATATCAACAGAATATAAAATAAAATGACAATTATTATTTTTTGATAAATATTTTTAATTAACATTAAATTAATTAATTAATAACATTAAAATTAAACTTAATTTAACGATAAAATCAATATTATATTTTAATTAAAAACTATATTTACTCAATAAATTTTAACAATAAAAATCATAACTTAAAATGAAAATAAGTATATTTTCTGATTTACGATTATATTAAATATATTATTAGAAACATTATTATGAAATATTAATTTTCTATGTCAAATTTAAGTTGAATTCCATATTCTTTAATAATATCGAAATGTTCACGACTCATTGTTTCCAATTTAAGTGCTGTAAACATCATTCTATATCGCGCTGATCGTGTTAGTCTTATACATAATCTCCTAAATTTTTTATTTCCTCTTCTTCCTTTACGACACCACCCTTCAAAAAATATTCTCAAACTGTCAGCACTAAATATCCAAGGATCATTATAATCCATTCTACATATTTCAATAGTTTCAAGTAATTCTGGTACATTCTCGGAAATTTGACATAATAAGTCATTAGCATCAAACCCTTTTCCTCCACAATCGAATGAAAATCTTTTTAATTCATTAAAATTATTATTAAATATTGCTATTACTTGTTCAGGACTTAAATTATGTAAAGTTAACTCGGTAATCTTTGTACAATAATTTAAAATTGCTGAAAATGTATCAAATGTAATTAGAGAATATACGTCCAGAAAAATATTTCTTAAATTTGTATTTGCCGTTTTGAGAATTTCTATAATAAATTCTTGAGGATACCTGGTATAACCTCTCGGATGAAAATAATAAAAACTACTCAATTGAGTAAATGATGAAGCCAATATTAAAAAATCTGATTCTTGCAATCCGTGACAATTCTTAATATAAAGTTCTTGAAGTAAAATAAATTGTCCATTCAAAGACAATTTTTCCCTGAAACAATGAAAATTTAATTTCTTTAAACGAAGATTCTTTAATGTTTCTTTTTGACTTATGATAGCCTCAAAAAATAATGATTCAGGTTTTGCACTAGAAATTGATAAATTTTCTAACCGTTTTTGAGTACTAATAAGTTTTGCTAATAATTGCTCTTGAGAATCTAAACAAGAAATTAAATCTATATTTAAAATATTATCACAAATTAATGCTAAAGATTCACATAACCAATTAAGTTCCGAAGTAAAACTTTCTAACTTATTAAATACTTTTGGGGCATCAGGTAACTCGAGAATTGAAAAAATTAAATCATTATAATTAAAATAATTTTTTAAAAAACGACGAGGAACTCTCAACAATTTAAAACAATCCAAAAATGTACAACGATTTACTATTAATTTGCATATCTCATGAAATAATATTCTCGATTCGGTGATGACGATTTCCTCATCAACATCCTTACTATTGTTATTATATTTATCTGGAACAATAATTTGTTGTGAATATATTGAAATAAAATAAACTAAATTATTAATTATAAAATTATGAGTGAATGATGGATAATCAAAAGTGGCTTGAGGTGGTGATGATGATAAATCAAATCCTTCTTGAATAAGTAAATTTCTAACTTGAGCATCCATACATGATATATAAGTTCGAATACATAATGCTTTCTTCTTCAACTTCTTATAATCTGTATCTGTTTTTGTACTACATTTTTGACCAAAAGGTAGTCCCCAAATTATAGGTATAGTAACTTTACACCAGATTCGATTAACTAATAATGATGAATATAAATCTTGAGTTGATTGAGATGATGATTGAAGATTATTTAAAATTTTAATTAATATTTCTGTGGGAACTTTAGTTGCCATCTTTTTTTTACATCGAAGAAAAATGAAATAAATAAAAAAATAATTGTATCACATTTATATACAAAATTATTATATGATTGCCACTCTTATAATGTAACACAAATGATCTTCAATCATAAAAGGGTTTGAATGGAAATCCAAAAAAAAAATGGATTGTCGAGATTAAAATCATTCAAGTTATTTTGTTTTATAAAAATATAAAATCAAAAATTTATTGTAGAATTAAATTTAATTGACGATCCACGACATATTTTTTTTTATATAATAATATACTACTAGTGGCGCAATAAGTTTCAACCAATTAAATTTGTTTTCAAATATTATTAACTTAAAAAAATATAAATTTTCTATTTCATAGTTTATTTTCGAAATGGTCCGATCAGCCAATCAAGTGATTAAAATAAATAAATATAGCGAAAACGCAAAGGTATCGTTTTTGATATATTTATGGTTATTTTTTTGATATATCAATTTTCATGTGACAAAATAGTTATTTTTTTGATGCATATATAAATAAAACTATTATAAACATATCAAAAAAATGACCATTTTTGTCACGCGTATTTGATGTATCAAAAAAATAACCATAGGTGTCTCAAAAACGATACTTTAGCAGCGAAAACAGAAAACAAGCATGTGATTTTTTTTAACCAATAAAAATATATTTCGCGACGCGATCTGTGATCTGATTATATCTCTGTCTTCTTTTTACCAAATTGGCACTTGTTTCAATCGTCAAAAATGTTTATATTGTTTTATAGATTAATTGCAAGAAACTTGCAATTGTGATATAACTAAAAAACCTTCAAGTTCTGATGCAAATGTTGACCAATCTAAAAAAGTTTTATCAAATATATAACCATTGTGTTTCAAATACATTACTTTCAACACAACTTACTTTTCTTAAAGAGGAAAGTGAAAAGTTTGAATATGATTTAGATTTTACTATGGAATTTGATATTAGATTTTTGTTCTGCTTGTAATTCAATGTATGAATGTTCTAAAAAAAAAAACAAAAAAAAACTCAAGATAATCAAATCTAACAAATCTAATACAAGTTGATACTCAAGTTATTATCAAAAAGAATAATGAAGTTTCACCAGGAAAATGGATAAAGCTTGATGTACAAACTTCTACATAATTTTATGAAGATTTATTTGATTATATAAACAAAAACATAGGAAATATAATTAGCAAAGATGATTATATTACTACATATAAAGTAAATGGTTGTGGACAAGTAATGGCTTTAGATGGTAAGGATGATTTTGTTGCTTTATTGAAAAATACAAGGGCTTATCTAAATCACAACATATGGTAATTTATATAAATATTAATGTGAAATCTAATAATTTGAACATAATTGTAAGAGAGTTACATCAGTAAGTAAATTTATTTTAGAATATATTGTTAATTTTTTTTTTCTTGAAATATTATGATCATTTTATCTTATTTTATTTTGTAAATTATTTATTTTATTATCAATAGACAGATAAAAATAATGAAATAAGTAGTTCAGATGAAGAAGTTCAAGAAAAAACATTCAAAAAAATCTCGTGTACCAAAAGAATCTCAGTTAGATGAAACAGAACTTGAACAAGCACAAATACTTACAGAAATTAGAAACAAATATCAATGTAATATAATTAATTTTCCATTTTCTTTCTTATGCAGTGACATCTTTCTATCTAATATCCAAATCTCTCTTTTTCATTATTGAAATAAAAAATGCTTTCATTGTAAATAACAAGAATTAATTCTTACTTCTTTGCTTCAAGTATCAGTAAATTTGGCTTCATAAATTTTCCTTCATACTTTGTTATTTGATATTCCAAATTCTTCATTTTTTTCAAAATATATTTCAGTATTTGATAATATCTTCCTGTTCATGACTATCAAGAAGCATTCTTTTTTTATATTTTTCAAATTTACATTCTAAAATATTTAACTAACTCTTTACTGTTTATAGATTAATTGATGTTTTTACTTCTTTTACATATTTTAATAAAATAACATTATCAATATACTTTTCAAATTATAACAGATTAATGTCATTTATCTTTAAATTTTTCCATATCTATTATTTGCATTTTAATATAATGTTCTCAGTATTAACTAATCAGTTACATTTTTGATATTGTCCACAACAGGAAATAGAAAAAAATCTATGTTGTAAATAAAATTTATCAAGAAAGTGAATTTTTTGACATGTGTATGGCTTCAGGAAAATGTAAATGATATTTGCTGCACTTTTACTTGTCTCTATCTTTTTGTAATTATAATATAAATGTATAAAATATTATAAACAACTTGTCATTCATTATATTCAAAGGCTGTAATTGTTTTTTCATTTTAGAAAGTTTTTCTGAAGTTCAGTAATTACTGTATATTATCAAGTAAAATAGGTATTTCCTTATTGTTGTCCTTGTCATCATCTTTATTATTATCTTCATTAGTATTCTCATTATTTTTATTGTTATCTTTAGCATCGTCCTTATTATTATCCTTATTATCATCTTCATCATCATTCTTATTGTCATTCTTATTGTTATTTTTATTGTTATTCTCATTATTATTTTCACTTCCTTTCTTACTGTTTCTTTCAATATTATCTAATTTTGTCAAATTTGAATATTCCAGAAATACTGGAGATATTGAATATGTTAAAAATACTGAAATTGAAGATTCAAAAAAATTTGTAATTTTAGAAATTCCTTTGATAGTTTTAACAAGTATTCCAGAGGTACCAAACTTATGATAATAAGTTAATTTAGCTATATTTTTGATTTTTCTTAATTTTTTTGTTAATTTCTTTTATACAAGGGCTGTTATAAATAAGTATGTACATATCTTTTCTTTTTCATTGATATTTTCTTTTTAATCACTGTCTTATTTGTCAAATTCTTCTAATTCCTTTTAAATTTTTTCACCTAAAATATTTTTTTTTTCTTATTTTTTTTTGACTTTTTTTATGCTCATTATTATATTTATAAAGTATTGGATATTTTCTTTGGATATGTTTTATTAAAAAGTAACTTTGACAAGGTCATTATATAAATTTAGATTATAGGTCATTTTTTATTTTGTTTAGTAGAATAAAGTAGTATTGAATAAAGAATGGACAAAGGAAAAAACATTTGAAAAGATTTATAATAAAATAAAAAAACAAAAGAACAATTGGAGAATAATGTAAATTTAAAAAAATGGGTCACATTCTATTTTCTATTCACAATTGATTATACGAAAATACTGTTTTTCAAAACCTTATTACTTGATAATGAATAATTATTTTTTAAAAAAAGAGCAGGCATTTTATAGAAAATTGATCTAGTTACAAAATACCAACTTTATTTTTTTGTATCACCTATATATAATTTAGGTTACCTTTTAAAAACAGAAAATTTATTTTAACCTTTGTGTTCTACTAGTCAAATACAAAAGAATTGCTATATCAAATGGTAATTCTTATACTATAGATCAGTTAAAAATCAGTAACAATTAGCTGTCCTATTGTATCCTATATTATAATTAGCAAAAACAAAATTCCTTTTTAGTATAGTATATCTTTTGTATTTAACCTGTGTCCTGTACTATAATAAAAATATTAATTTTATTCTCTAAGACCAGAATAAAATAAGATTCCAGGTATAAACAATAATAGAGTAAAATCAAATAAGCATAGGAGATCAAGAAAGAACAAAGTAATATTAAAAAAAACTAAAGAGAGACAATTATAACAAATGATAGCAATAAGAAAGAAATGGAAGTAAATAACAAATTAAAAGAGTTCAAAAAAAAGGTTTATATAAACTTAATAGATGAATGGATAGTTAGAAAAACAAAAAAAGTATAGTTCCAGTTAAGTCATGTAACAAAATGAGTGAGAAAACAAAGAAGTATAGTTTATTTTAAGACTTTAAGATTTAGGATTATGTAATATCAATAATTTAGATAATCTTAAAAAAAATAAAAGAAATCAAAATAATAAAAGATAGGATTATTTATACTATAAGAATAAATAGAAGAATATAATAAGAAAGAATTTTATTTAGATAAAGAAATATTTACAAGAAAATAAAGTATCTAATTAATTAATGATTTCACTTAAAACTATACAATTATAAATACTAATTATCTACAATTATTACTACATAAAATGGAAAAAAATATTGAATTATTACTTAAATTGTTGTTCTACTTATTACATGATGAAGAAAAATTAAAGCTCTATACTGTATATACATTTTAGAAACTATTCTAATAATATAATTTAATTTATTAGTTAATTATATATTGATAGAAATAAAAAGAAAGAAAAGAAAAATAATAATAAAATAAAGATAAATCAATCTTGCTAAGCTGAAATGGTCCTAGTGAGGTAGTAGCATTTATAATTTCAATAGTTTTATTTTGGGAAGTGGTCTTTTGCTTGGTGTAGTGGTTTACTCTAAGTATTTCAGCAAATTGTCTATAGTATCCACAGTATATGCTGTTATAGGAGGAAAATTGATACTTAGAAAATAAAGGAAAATTGAAAAAATACATAATAAACTAATAAAATTAATCACATAAATCGTAATAATAATATTTATAACAAAAATTATATTATAGATTTATAATAAAAATAATATTTATAATAATAGCAATTTGTATTTGTAATTATTTATTAATAAGAGTTAAATTCTAAAAATAGTATTTAAATAACTTATAGTAAAAAGATATAGTAGAAATTAATTCTTTTGAGAAAAGAATTACACAGAATGGTTACAGCCAAGATGATTAAAAGATTGATAGTCCTTATTAAGGAGAATAGACATATCAAATTTCATAACAATTGGATCAGTGATTACTGAGAAATTAATTCTTGAAAATTGAAATTTTACTAATAAAATAATTAAAAAATTTTTTTTATTAATAAAATTTCAATTTTCAAGAATTAATTTCTCAGTAATCACTGATCCAATTGTTATGAAATTTGATATGTCTATTTTCCTCAAGAAGGACTATCAATCTTTTAATTATCTTGGTTGTAACCATTCTGTGTAAAATTTTATTTACAATTGAAATCTTATTAAGTGACAATTCATCATATGGATCATCTGTTTATGTAAAATTGAAATTATTAATTTGATATTTTAAACATCACAAAAATCTCCAAAACTCAAGAATTAAAATGAGCTTAGTAACTATTATTCTAAAATCTCTCATTCAGGCTGAAGAATTTTTTAAAGACAAAAAGTCTAGTATTGCAGTACTTTCATGAGGTACTGTAATATGAAATAAATAATATTATGGAATTAAAACTTGATTGTTTAATTGTGTAATTTATTATTCTTATATTAATTAATAGTAGACAATAAAGGATAAGATAAAAGAATAAAGGATGGAATAAAAATAGATTAATAAGAGAAGAAATAAGGAAAAAGATGAAAGAGAAAGAAAAGGAAAACTGATCATATCTAGTAAACTGGTGTCTTCTAATGAAAGAAAATCAAGCTAATATCATGTGTCTTTGAAAATAGTATGTTAAACTCTTTAAAAAAATTGTAAATTCATTGTGAAAAAATATCAAGCATGGTAACATTTAAAAAAATTTATAAATTTATTAATGTTTATTAATTACCTAATGATTGTATACAAAAATATTATCCTTCTGGATTGATATTTTTCATTCATGTTTCTAGTAGTAAATTTGCCAAGGTTCAACAATATATTAAGAAATGTATTAGAAGTATTTTAGCTAAAACTGGCTAAATCAATAATAAGAATGTATATCCTTGATTATATAAAGATGAACTCCATTAGTTTGAATATTCATTCCTATTGATCCAGAAGAAATTTGAGTGGTGTTCCTTATATCATTTATCAGGAATTTTATAGAGACATTCTAGTATGCTATAAATATGAAACTATACTTACACACAAAATTATTTTGAAGCCCTGAAATTGTAATTTTGAGAAAAAAAGTCAAAATAGTTTTTCATAGAAGACAAAATTATTTTACTTAAAACCTAAAATTTTTTGACTACCCAGATAAATTCTTTGATTAAAGATACACTTATCTAGGTATTTTTTTACTTCCATATTTAGAATAGTCTGTGTAAATCTTAAAAAGATGAAATAATCTAAAAATCAAAAATCAATTTTGGAAACATATATATATGAAACATTTAAATAATATACCAAAAACATTAATTTTAATATGTTATAAATATGAAATATTTAAATAATATACTAGAACAGTATATTTAGTATGTTATTAATATGAAATGTTTAAATAACACACTAGAACATTATGTTCTAGTATGTTAGTATTATTCAGATAACATGATAGAATGGTGTTCATATAGTGTTATAGAATTTTTTATTTAATTCCTAATGTTATATTTGTGAACATAACTGTTGATATATTTTCAAAGATCTATTGGATAAAAAGTTCTTTCTATGTTCAACTCTATTTTTGAAAAAATATATATAATCAGGAATTAAAATTAATATTCAAATATTTAAGAATATAATATTTTTATATAGTTCCAAAACACTTTCACCCAATAGTGAAGTAAACCTAGATATGTAAAAAAAGTGTAATCAAAAAAGTAGGATATATGCAAAAAAAAATATTATATTGATTATTATACCTTTCAATTGTGATTTACTGTCCTATATAAAAAGTAAATTGTAAAAGAGGAGATATTTATTGTATAAAGAATAAAATTCATAATATTATTATTTTTTGATATAATAATTTAGTATTACTTATTTTAATTAAGATAAAAATAGAAAAGCTAATCTATATGAAATATTCATATTTAATATTGATAAATACAAAAATATAAAAAGATTTAATGACTTCAACTCATCTTTCTGGTACAGATCAAATATAAAAGATATGCTGTACCAAAAAGGAATTATGATTTTAACTGATTTGTAATATAAGATGCAATAGGACAGTTAATTTTTTCCAATTTTTAGCTGATTTATAATATAGGAATTATTATTTGGTACAGCAATTCTTTTGTATTTGACTAATGTAGTAATCTTTTAATTTATTGATCTCAGGATAAACTAGATTAGAAAAAAACAAATATGATTATCAATCTTTTGCTTGGAGATAAGATGTTTTGAATGTTTAATAGAAAGAAAGGTGAAACATGTTATATGATTTGGTTTGATTGGATATTAGATTAATAAGCTCAAATATAGACATTTGAAAGATTGTTATAAAATTATTGCAAATAGCTCCAAACTATATCACGAAGATGTTACATTCTGAACAATGAAATCCAATAAAATGTCAGAGGTTAATAACTTTTCTCCTAAAAGAAGAACAATAGTTGTATTTGAAAATGTATATACCAAACCTAAAAAAATCACAAAAGAAAATTACTTGCTATTTCACTGAAGGGAAGCATAAAAATATTAGTTCAATATATATAACACAGAGCTTTTTTGATTGCCCGAAGCTGATAAGAAACAATCTAGATTATATTGTACTCTTTAATGAGTTAACATTGCTCAAAGATATACAAAAAAATGGTGTAATGTTGTTGATATACTTGACAAAAATTTATAAAGTTAGGAAAACATCATAATTGATTTAACCAGAGCAAAAGAAGATTCTTTATACATAAGGAAGGGTTGGGATACATCTCTTGATCTTTCTAATGAATAGAGCAAGCTTTTAAGATGCAAGGGCTTCTTTTGCTTTCTGTAATTGTATTTTCCTTTCTTTGATCTCACATTTCAATTTATTATTAGCATTAATCTGCTCCTCAAGTTGTTTAGTGATTTCTTACATAAAAGAACCAAAAGTTTTTTCATTGTAATTATACTTGCACACAAAATTATTTTGGGGTCCCAAAATTGTAATTTTGGAGAAAAAAGTCAAAATAGTTTTTCATAGAAGACAAAATTATTTTACTTAAAATCTGAAATTTTTTGACTACCCAAATAGATTATTTGATTAAAGATACACTTAACTAGATATTTTTTTTTACCTCTATATATAGAATAGATTCTGTTAGTTCTTTTTGTTTAGTTTGTTCTTCAAATCTTTTTTATCCAAAAATCAAAAATCAATTTTGGGAACATATATAATTGTAATCAAGCAATTGTTGAGATAAACTATCTAACTCTTTCTTAATGCAAAAATTGATTTTCTCCCCATTTGTAAAACAAGGACACTTATGTACCTGATCACATGAACAGATATTAGTATCTATTTCTTGGTTAATCATGTCTATATTATATAATAAATTTTTAAGTGGTGGACTTTAACATTAACATTCTTTTTTCCTATTATAAACTATAATTTTATGTTACAAAAAATCTTCAATACCTGAATTTATACCGCATGCTTCTAATTCTGTCAAAGGATTTCGCTTTCTCATAATAAAGCGTCTCCATATTTATACTGAATAAAATGTTTTTCTAGTTCTTCTTCAAAGCAGGAATAGCTTTTTATTAGTTCCTGACGTGATGATTTAGTTTTTTTGACATTGAAAATGACAATCCGTTTGTTTAGAAACATAAAATAATTCATTTCTTTTTTCTTGTTTTGTATTTTTAATATTTTCAACCTCTTTAATGTCTTTTGTTGGGGTATGAGTCATATGTGTTGTCATTTTCTTAGATGATTCAATTTCATCCCCTTCACTCCATAAAAAATCTTGAACCGACTTTGCGCTTTCAGCTAACAATTATTAATTTTCAAGAATCGAAAATGTTAATTTTGTGATTTCTATATCTTGTTTTTTTAATACAATAAAATCTACTGGAGTGAAGCCATATTAAGAATAATCTGTACAAACCTCATACTCCAAAAAGCTCAATATAGTTTGTTGGTCCTTGCCATATCTGCTCACATTTTTGGAAAGTAAAAATTTAATATTGGTTTCATAGTATAGGTCTCAGCAAATTTAAGTTAAAATTCATATATAGCAATCTTATTTACTATGAATTTCAAAGATTAGCAATGAATGATATAACAATAATTGACAAAAGTGTTGATAATCAAAACTTATACGCTTGCAATCCGTATAACTTGACTGATATAATATCACAAGTTAGGTTTAGTTCCGCAGAATGGTTTATAATTGTTTTTAACATTTTAGCAATCTTCAATCGATCACCTTTATAGTGTGACCAATCATTTTTTATTGGCGGTTCACTAATTTCAATTACAGAAAACTCTTCGTTCTCTTCTTGCAATTCAATGATAATGTCAATTTCTTTTCAGTGAACCAGCATTTGGAATCTCTTATTTTTGCGAATTTTTGTCTTTCGCGCTCGCTTTGAAACAAGTTTCGCTGTAAAACGTACACCATTGTCTTTAATTTTTGACAAAAAATTCATCGAAAATGGACACTAGGACTATTAGTATATGTGCCTTCCGACATTGGTCAAGTAATAAATTGATATCTTCCATTAGTCTTACCCTATAAATATAATTAATCTCATTAGTCACAACTAAATTTTTCAATGAAGATTAAGAAATAACTCACATATATCTCACAAAATTTAACACAAATTTATTTTCAAATAAAGTAGTGTCTTCTTCCTTTACTTGTTTGAGTTTTTTCCTTTGTTTTCTTAATATCACGATCAATGATATGATCCAATAGTAATTTAATTTCATTTTCTACAGTTTTTTCAATTTCTTTCTCACTTATATCACTGATCATTTGTGTTATGATACTTTCATCAAATGTCTTTAAAAACCCATCTTTATTAGAATTAAAAAATATAACATCATAATATTCTGAACTCGTTTTTGGCAGATTCTTCAACTTGTATTCTTTGAGACATTCCCTGATTTGAATACCATTTATGATTCATTCAGTGCTTTTTTTACCAACAACCGTTAGACTTGCATCAAATTCTTTGTCATTGTTATTATCACCTTCCTCAGTTTCAAAACTACATTTTTTCCCTTGTTGATTCACCAAAAAAGGGGTTGGTAATGGTTTTTTGCATATATACTTTGGTGAAGTATCATAACATAGGTTTTCGTTCTCTTTATTTTCTAGTGTAATGGTTAGCTTTGGTGTACAGATATCAGCTTTGTTATACATCTAGTCATAAATAGAAAATAACAAGTTCATTATGATTAACCTTGAAGTCAATAGGTCATGTTCTTGAGACTCACGTTATTTGTTTGTGTTTCAAACTTCTTGTAGGATATATAACTTGAAATTTGTTTTTTCTGTATGGCAGATAAAGTCTTTCGGAGATGGCGTAGACCTGTTTTATCAAATTCAAACATCCCTTTTTTTTAAAAATCGAAATCAAAAATCAAGAAGTTTTAGCAAAAGTATACTCTATAAATAATTTTTGTGAAGACAACTTACCCATTGCAATTTTGACTTCTTATCAATTAATTCTGTTTCATGTAGTTTCCAAAAGAATTTTACTGATCCACTACATTTTCTTCTATTATAAAAACTGTTAAATTATTAATAATTTTCATAAGCAATATTTGCAGAAACAATTACAGACAACTAGCAATCATTCCTTGGCAACCAACAATCACCAAGATAATCTGTGTGATTATGTGTGAATACAAAACAAAGTCCTTTGCTCTGTACAATCAAAGACCACAATGAACAATCAGCAATCATCCCTTATGAACCAGCAATTCATAAGATAGCTCGTGCAAATATGCAATTTGCAAAGTAATCTGTTGAATCTGCAAAAACCATATTTTGAAAATGAACAAATACATTTACTGGAAATTTTCTATCAACTCTCACACTATTTTTCCAACTTCTGAAGTCTCATTGTAATAATCGCTTATTATAACTAGTTTGTCTTTATATAGAGAGTGTTCTTGTGTTGAATTAGTCAAATTACCTTCCAGATACCAGAAGTTCAAAAATTTACTGAATGAAGGTTTGTTAGTATCCTTCCAAAAAGCTACATTTAAAGAAAAGCGTTAATCTAGTAAAACATTAGTATATAAAAGTGTATAGACAGTGTTCCTTACTAGAATATTCTGGTAATCAGGTTGAAGATACGCATTTAAATTTAGATGCAGAATAAGCGATACAAGTCTGATCGTCACGATTTTAATTTTCCTTTTGTTAAGATGATCAGAATGGACCGTGATTGGCTAAAATTTATTATCAGATTAAAAATATTAAGTCATTTATTGAACATGTTTTTATTAATTAAACATGATAAAAAATGACTAAAAAAATTTTGGACCTTGCTCAATAGAAAACTGTATATACAATGATACTTTTTTTCGTAAATAACTGAATTTGCATATCAAAAAGCTAAAAAAAAATATGTTGGAAGTTTATCCGTATTTGAATACCGGAAGACAATTATGTCACCAACACTATTGTTCAATAGTGGATTCTAAACGTAATGAACAAAAACGAAAGAAAAAATCAAAAAATCAAAAGGATTGTAGAAACATGAGAGTAATAAAATTTATTATTAATTAATATTTATTTGGTTAGTTTTAACAAATGATCAAATGTTTATTTCAAAAATAAAAATATTAACAAAGGTATTATATAATAAACAACGCTATGAAGAAACTGAATTGAAATTAAATCCAACTGATTTTTAAAAAATGATTGAGGAATCTAATCCCAAACTTCAAGGATCCAAAGAAGGATCTGCATATAATAGACCTGAAGCAAAAAATCAATAGTAGTATTATTTTATATGATTGCTGGTCTACGAAATAAATTTGTCAATCAATTCAAAATAGAAGTTGATTTGTATTTAGCTGCATCTGGTGCCACTTGGGAAACAATTGATACTTTATTAAGTCTTGGATATTCCATATGCTCAAAATCAGTAGCTAATTATCAACAAAAAATTTATGAAAATCATAAAATACATATCGAATCTTATTTTGCAAATAAAGTAAGTAAAAATAAATAATATTTTTTATATCATAAAAATTATTAATTTTATCATCTTTGTTATCTGGGAAATTCTTTACATATCTACAATCTTGATGATTTCTATGATATCCATGAGAAAAGATATCCTGATACAACTTCTACATCAACCAAATCATTTTGCAACATGTGTTACAAAACCTGTAATTGGATATCTAAAAATACCATTAATATTTAATGAAAAATCAGAACATAATCCAAATAATATTGAGGTTCATGGTATTCGCTTAATCAATATAAAGGAATTTTTTGATATTTCTTATTTAGAAAGACAAAATTTTTGGATCTCACAGGAATTCAAAAATAATTATGTTTTTGATAGAATTGAACTTTTAACAGTACATTGTTATGATGATATTATTGAAAAATTTAAGAAAGAAAGGTCTATTAATGGGCTTTGATTAATTAGTTTCAATCAACAGCAATTACACTCAATGTAAAATTATTTAGATACATTAAAATCAATATTAAAAATAAATCAAAAAACAAACCATTTAGAAAATTATGTTGCACCTATTATATGTAGCTGATTGTCTTGGGTAATTATTTATCAGAAAAGCATAGGCATCAAAACAACCTAATATACCATCTGAGATCAAAAATTTTATTTCAATGTTAGGTCCCCTTCATCTTTCTCTTAACATTAGAAAACACATTATTTTAATTTATTATAGTTTTTTTCAACAAATGTTTTATTTTGTATTTGGTAAAAATTAAAAGTTAGCCAAGAAACCAAAGCCCTGGTGAATTAATTTATTATTAGAATTAATGAGAAGTGGGTGAGTTTGAATCAAAAATAGGATTTTAAACAAATTTGGATTAAGTAAAAATGTAGAATTTTATACAGCAGTAGATTTATTAAATAATTTAATTCTAGCTACATTGGATATATATATTTTATTTAGATCTAGTTCATTTGACAAATATATTGAAACAGTATTCTGAATATGGACTTTTGTGTTGCGATGGAAAATAAAAATTATAATAAGGCATCTTTTGTTTTTTATCTGATTACTTTTATTGGAGAGACAGCAATCATTCATTTGCTGATGTTATAAAAATAATTTATTATATTTCAATGATTATTATGTAGAGAATATGCATAGTAGAATAAGAGCAAATATATCACCAAATGCAATAGCTGAAAATATAATTAAACAAGCATACATTGTTGGTATTTATAAATTTTTATTTATTTTATTAAAAAAAACATATTTTTTTATTTATTACAAAATTCTTTTTAAAATAGCCAACCATGACCCATTGTTTAAAGATACTTATTGTAAAATTTGTCACTAACCATACTACATTGGATTTTTTATCTGAAAAAACAAGTCTTTTTTTTATTTAAATTATTTTCAAAACGTATTTAGGAATCAAGAAAATAGTATTCCAAAATATACAGGAAGAAGAGAAAAAAAAAATTAAAACATATCAACTAGCCACATTAGGAGAAGTATATTTACACTGATGCTACCTTTTGGAAGAGCAGAGAAAGAGAGAGAAAAATAGTATTTTTAAAGGAGAAAGTACTATGGTTTAGCTGGTAGTGATTAGGGGTATGAGGTATAAGGTGAAAATATGTGTAATATTATAGGATTTATGCTAAAGATCAAAGAAAAGAAAGAAAGTAATGACAGGTATAAGATTTACAAGGGAGGAGAAGTAAGATCACAGGGGTTTTTATATAGGACAATCAATAATCAAGTGAATTAATTATATGATCACAAGGTCTTAAACAAGATCTAAATAAATTCAGATCAATTTATAGATTCACAGAGATTACTAATTTCTAAGAGAGAATTCAAAGTTAAGTAATTTACTTTATTGGAGAGATAGTTATTTATTTAAATGAAAAGATTGTTTTTATTCAGTATAAAAGATGTAATGTTAATTTCTTTATTTAATAAAATTTTTATTTAATAAAATTCAATCTACAATTTAAGGAAAGGAGAAAATAAATTCTTAAGGGTTTTAATGATCAAAGGATGAATTAATTAATAGAATATTAAAAGGATTATCAAACTAAACACTCATTAAGTTCGTACTATCATAAAATTCTATAATCTTTACTAATTCATTGACTTTTTCTCTCATTCACTGATTCACTAAAGTTCTCAAGAAAGCAAAAAATCAAAGCCTACTTATACAGTTTGATGAATCTATTCTAATAATTTAAAAATTAATTAATCAAAGAATAGCATTAAAAAAAAGCATTATAAATTATTCCTTTCTCATGCAAAGCCTTGTTAGAACAATAAAGATGGCTTAAATATATGTAGAGTGTTGGTATAATTGATTAAATGTTGGTTAATTTGTACCAGTGTTGGTAAAATCTAGCAGATCGTCAGCCTCAAATTGTCCGTGCAACCTTAACCAATAATAATTTCGATATCGCACACGTGACACGTGATCATGATCGACACGTAACGCGAAACTCAATATAATGAATATTATTAAATAAATGAATAATAAAGTAAGAGAAATAAATGAAATAAAAGAAATAAGATAGGAAAAATAAAAGGAAGTAATAAATAATAGATATAGGAGTAGAAATAAGTTAGAATATCTGTAAAATAATAATAATTGATAAAAATAAATAAATAAAAGTAAAGAATTAAATAAATAAAAATATAAATAAAAAAAAAAAAATAGTAACAACACTACCTTTCAAAATAAATCCATATATTCCCAAAACGGTACAAAAAAAACCTCTGATAATCTTTATATGGTTCTAAATAACTAATAATTATAGCATGAGAATAATATCAAAAATATGAGCAGAAATGTCATTGTCTTGGTATTATTTTCATTTGAATTAATAGTATCCGATTCTTTATGAAAATGAGGTGATTGACATTTAAGTATGTTAGAATGTGCATTAAAAGTTTTTTCTTTGTTTTCAACTTCAATAGTTACGTTGTAATCATCTTTATCAGTAAGACGTTTGAAATTTTGATATAATTTATCAAAGAACTCTAATGCCATATTTTATTTGAAAATTTCGTCAACAAATGGGGTAGCAGAATAGTAAAGTTGGTTAATTTTGAATTTCTACTACTCCATCAAAAATTGGGGTATCAAAAATTTAAAAACGTGGTGTTGTTGAGCTTGACTTGCTTTATCTCCCCACAGTCTTATTTGTGTTTATTGCTTTTTTTTTTGAGGAGTAGCAATTTGAAAATTGGAATATTTATTTGCTGGGACTAAGTTGTACGCACTGTATTAGCCCGAATGAAATAATGTCACGATTATTAAACATGACATTTCTGCTTACATTTTTGATATTATTCTCAAGCTGTAATTATTTAAAAATAAAAATGATATTAGATATTATGGATAATTTGAGTATTATGATTTTATTAATTATTACAATTTATTATACATATACGTTTATGGCGGTATAATTAATTTAGAGAATATTGAAACAAGAATTTTTTTGACGTAATGTTATCGGCTAACAAATTTGAACTTGAAGAATTATCCAAGAAATTAGAAAATATTCTTATTGAGGATAAAGCTTCTTAGTTAAAATCAAATTTTTCTTTTGTTTATCGTTCAATTTTTATTAAAAATAACTTTAAAGATTTAGAAAATTATTGCAATTATATTGTTGCAAAGTGCCCTAATCTTGATACTGAAGATTTTACATCTCTCCAAGAATCTACTTTGATGTCTCTTCTCAAACGTGATGATTTATAGATGGAAGAAGTCAAAATAAGGGAATACATTATCAAATGGGGAATTGTTCAAAATTCTATTCTTCCTGTTAGCCTTGATGAATGGAACAAGGATAATTTTTTAATTTTAAAGATTACTCTCCAATATTGCTTACCATATATTAGATATTTTCATATTCCTGGTGATGATATCTTAAAAAAAGTAAAACCTTACTAGAAAATTCTTGATAAGCAACTTTGGGAGGATTTATTTCAACATTTTTTATCTCCTAATCAACCAAAGAAATCAGTTGTTTTACCAGCAAGATCAGTTTTGATTCCTGAATTACCTGTTCGTTCAAAAGAACCTTCTTTTATAACCATTATTTCTGATGATCATGCTGCAGAAATTTTCTCTTGGATTGATCGTAAAAATACTACATATCCTTCAGAAAATTATCCATACGAATTTGAGCTAATTTTAAGAGGAAGAAAAGATGGATTTGCTCCTCAAACGTTTTGGGACATGTGCCATGGTCATGCTGGTACGGTAGTTATTATAAAAGTCAAAGGAACTGATGAAATTCTGGGTGGTTATAATCCTTTAGCATGGGATAATGGTGTTACTGAATATAAATGGATGGGAACAAAAGATAGTTTCATTTTCTCATTGAAAAACATTAATATTCACAATTCAATTCTTAGTAGAGTAAAGGTACCTAAATATGCTATTTATTATCGAAGTAAGCCTCACCAAATCATAGGTAGTTTTGATTTTGGAGGAGGTCATTTTTACATGTGGAGTAGCCAATTTAATTTTAATATGGGTAATGAATCCGGTTCTTTTAGTAACGGTCATTATGAAACATCTATTGGAACAGACGGGAATTTTTCAATTATTGATTATGAAGTTTTCAAAGTCAATAGGAAAACTAATTAGAGAATTTAGTTTCAAAAGACATTTATTCCTTTATTTGTAATATTTTAAATTTATATTTATATTTATTAAATAAATTAAAAACTTATATATTTAAAATTTTTTAAAATTTTCAATCATATTAGTTCCTTTATATTTTTTTAAAAAATTTTTTTTATAACCTTTTAACTTTGGGAAAATGAAATTAATTCACAAAAGTTGTAAGGAATAAAAAAATATAATAGTCATAATTACAGAATTACTTCCATGTGTAAAGGAATCAAAAGAATCTTATTCAACTATTACGTATTTCTGAAGAACATGACATATGATTGATTTTGAAAAATCTACAAAAACATCTTTATCATTCTTTTAACTATCTGATGATGATGATGATATATTAAAAGAATAATATATTTTTTAAGTTTAGAATGCAATAAAGTATAGTTGACACGATTACATATATAAATATAAATTAATAGTAATCAATAGAAGTGATTTATTATAATAATTAATTGTTAGAGGAACATGGAAATATTTAGCTTTAATTTTTTTTTATAGCTTTATTACATTTTAATTCTAAAATTAATTTATGTTATAACTTCTAAACATTTATTAAATGATAATAGTTAATTTAACATACATCCAATTTTAATTGATGACGCGTCACATGTCATATTCACTACTACAGTATTTGAAAAATTATTTGAGCTATTAAATATTCAACTTTCTGTGATTTGATGATAAAGAATTTTTAAAAGTTAGATAAAATGGGCCTCACTAATACAATTGTGATCCTTTTCTAATTTATTTTTTATTATTATTAAATAGAATATTTTAATTTCTTTAAAACAAAAGAATCAAAAATAATAATACAATAATAAAGTAAAACAAAGGATAATTAATTGTACACTAGTTGAGATTGGAATCTAATCAAAATAAATAAATAAATTTAAATTTATAGTACAAAAAAATATTGATAAATTACTTATGCAACATTTTATTTTTATCATTATCATCAAAATGATAATAATAATAAAAAATTAAAAAATATATATAAATAACATTTAATCATGTCTATATCTTTGATGATGAAAATTATTAAATCTAAAAATTGATGTAAAATTAATGTTTATTATTAATCTTTAAATTATTATACAATAATTTGGCTTGACCTTTCTTCTGATCCTTCTGATCTTTCTTCTATAACTTCTGTTACTTCTTCTTCTACTACTTTTTTATTAGCAGCAGCTTGTGCAAAAATATTCTATTGGTTCAATATATATATATATATTTTTAAAAAAAAGAAAAAAAAATTAATAATAATAATAATATTATTATTTTTGGTAATGTAAATTTCTAACTTTTTTATGACATTAATTATAAAAAAAAAATTTGATAATGATGATGCTAATTACCTTTGCGTGCATTGTTATATTATATTTAAAAGGCATTTGTCCAAAATTTGCTTTTATAACTTCCCTTGGACTTATCATACCAACTATTGGATATACCTCTCCATCATAAAATAAACCATTACACGCAACTCCTATTCATAAAATATTAATAATAATTATTATAAATTATGAAATAATAATAATAAAAATAATAATAATAAGAATAATAATAATAAAATATAATAAAATCATTATAAAATAATTAGTTACCTAAATTTATTCCATTTTTAGTAAAGAAAACAGTTTTATCAAAATAATTTATCCCACATCCAACAATATCACCAGTATCATATAATGGTCCATATTTCCTTCCACTACCACTATATAAATATAATAAACCATCATCCCCATGATAACCTATTGATTCCGGTTCCCAACCTGTAAATTTCATTCATAAAAATATAATCAGTTTATAACAAGTTATAACAAGTTCTATTTTTTTAAAAAAAAAAAAAAATAATAATAATAATAATAATAATAATAAAAATACCTGGCATTCGCTCAAGTGAAATGTGACCTTTAGTTAATCCTATCCCTATACATCTATAGAAATAACGATGTCGATATAATTTTTCCGAATTAAATATTTACAAAATTAAATCTTGAAAAAAATTTACTTACCCACGTTCTCCTTTATCAATTACTTCGATTTCAAAATAATATATTCCAACTTCGTTCGAAATTGGATGATCCGCCCTTATACTCGATGCATCAATCCAATTTCTTCCCGGCCCTATTATTTGTATAATTTTATAATTTGTATATATGTATATATATATATATATATATATTTATTTAAAAAAATTAATTTTCAATTTTAATCTCCGAATCTAATTACAAAAAAATTAAAAATAAATAAATAATATAAAATTAAATTTACTATATGCTTGAGTACCAGTGTATGCAAGTCCAACACCATCTTCCAAAACTCTAATGTGTGGGGCTCGATCTTCGGTGTTCCAATATGAAGGTAAGGATAATTTATTTATCAAAGATTTATTATATATATCAAAAGGACTATTTCGTAGATATTCTGGAATAAATATATTTTGGGATACCATTTTTTTTTTTTTTTTTTAAATGGTTGCAATATAAAACGGAATTCGGTATTACTATTATTAATTATACCTTGTTCGTGGGGTATAGTCTTATTCTTATTACAAATTTGATTAGTTCATAGTGTGGCACAGCTGATCTCCAAATTTAATTTTTTGATAGGAAAAACCACTTGATTTGATTACATTGATTTGACAAAAAAGGAGTTCATCAATAATTAAAAGAATTTTAAAAAATGCACAAGATAAGAGCTTGTACCCGTATTCTCTAACATCAAAATAAATAAATAATAATAATAATGATTTTAAAAGGAATGACGTAAATTCGTCGAATATGATGAAATATTTTATTTGATTGAAGCCATTTTATAACTGGTTAGGATAAAAATTTCCAATCATATTTGAGATTTTTGATTATTAATATTATTATTATATATAGTCACATCGTTTTGAATAAAAAAAAAAATCATCCCGAATTTTAATCAAAATTTCAACCATGGGCGACATTTCAGCTTCAAGTTCAATAGATATTTATAATATTTTTATTGCCTCTATTAAGGTAATAAATTTTTTTCAGATAAAACGATTAACATAATTTACAGATAATAATAATTTAATTGTCGATCTTTTTTTAGTCCAGTTTACACGTAGTACTAATGTGCTTTACGGGTTATTTTGCTGCAAAATATGGAATAATTAATAAAAAATCGCAGAAGGTTAGTAAAGTGCTCGTGATGAAAAAGCTATGAAGATTTTTATTTCTCTCTTTATTAATTTTATAAATCCTTCCCCCCCCTTTTTTTTTTAATGATTAAAAGGATCTCTCCAGTGTAATAATTAAAGTCTTTATGCCATGCCTATTATTTTCTAATGTCGCCCAAACTGACATAGAGATATTAGCTAATCTATGGGCCATACCTACCACATTCTTGATTTTTGTGACAATCAGTGGTAGTTTGGGATATATCGGTGGCAAATTATTAGGATTATCTGGTCCAAATACTAGATTTACTTGTACTGGGATAATATTTAATAATGTCACAAGTCTTTTACTTGGATTATTAAAAGGACTTGGTGAATCTGATACTATTAGAATTTTGGCATGGAAAAGTGATGAAAGTACTAAGGATATCATAAAGCGAGGAATTTCCTATGTGTTATTGGCTACAATCTGGACTAACATATTACGGTAAGTAAAGATTACACATACGTATAGGTTATCGATCGATATAGTTTATTGTATATTTAATTCTATTTTTATCTTTTTATCAATAAATAGCTGGACTTTAGGTGTTTATTTGCTAAGAAAAGGACCAGATAATGATGATAATGATGATGATTATAATGAAGAAGAAATAGTCGTTAGTTCTACGATGATAACTGAAGAATCCCCTTTGTTGGGCAAAGAAGAAAATCATCACCCTTTCAAATTAGAGAATATTAAACATTTTTTAAATAAAATAATGAATCCACCCTTATATGCTACATTATTAGCCTTATTAGTAAGTGCAATTCCATACCTAAGATCATTATTCTTTAGTGAAAATGCTCCTCTCTCCCCTATCTCTTTAACCATCGATAGTCTTGGTTCAGTAACCGTTCCTTTGACTCTTATCACACTCGGAGCTCAACTTAAGAATTTACCTCGAACTAAAGGGAAAGAAATTTTTTCGACTATATTATACATAATGTTCAATCGGTTTATTATTATGCCGTTGATTGGTATTGCAATTATATTACTCACCAGAAATTGGTATATAAATGATCCGATGTTATGGTTTATACTAATAATGTTAGCTTGCGGACCACCGGCCGTTAATTGTATGAATCTTACGCAATTTACCGGAACTTTTCAAGAAGAGATGGCAGCTTTATTATTTTATTCGTATTTAACTGTGGCACCCCTTATCACGTTACTTGTGATGAGCGTATTGAGCATAATTGGGAAAATTAAATCTACGTGATAGATATAGTTTTATTCAAATTTGGTAAACAGATTTAAGAAACTTACATTTTTTTCTTTAATTGTAATTACATTTTTTTATTATTTACATATAATCTTCTCATATGATCAATATTTATTTATGTGTGTGGTCTTGTGAAAATGAACTTTGCCCAATAAACATTACATAGTGTTTGTGTTACAAAATTTAATTCCGAATTATTAAAAGTCAGAGTTGATCTGTTAATGTTGCTTTGTTTACTAGTTTTATATTAAAATAAAATTTATAAAAATGATTGGTTAATTCTCCTTTTATACCTTTGGCGTAAGTATAAAATGGAATTAGTAAAATAAAATAAATGAAACACACATTTTTAATAAATTTATGCAATTCTCTCCCCACGTTTGCTTGTGAGTGCATCTTTTCATGCATCGTAATAAATTTCGAGTCTGCGTTACATGAAAATAAATATTCTTGATTTATTATAAAATAAAACTTTCATTATTTTTATTAAACATTTGCGTAAAAAAAAAAAAGGTTTAAAAAATCAAGCAACGAGTAAAATTTAAAGTGTTAATACATGAACTTTTAACGGATCATATGTGAACTACATTCATTTTAGATATAATCTCTTTTTTTTTAAAAAAAAAAGATTAAACATCATCATATCGCCTATTGCAGTTTTCTGATTTCTACACGTATTTTATATATCGTTCAATAGGCAATATATTTCGTCTTTTCTTTTCTAAATAGATATTCTTCTTTTATAATAAACATAAAAATCTATTTCATAATATTAAGAAAATGTCGAATTTTCTATTAATACATCCGTTGCTTCTCCCGGAGATCCTGGAGCAAGTTTTTTTTTTTCTCGCAACATCAGACGATCAAACTTATGACAAAAATATCGATGACTTATTTTCTTGTGCGTTAGTGTGTAGACAATGGTGTAGAAATAGTGTTCCAATAATCTGGGAGAAACCCTTTGAAACGTGCTATAGAAAATGTACTAAGGTAGTTTCTTCACTGGTTTTATTCTTGGAAAATATTAATCCAAAGATAACAAAGCATCAACAACAACAACAACAACAGAGTAACTACATAATACACGAATATTTAAATAGTAAATATCAACAAGATTATATAAAAACAATTGCATATCATAACAACAATAGCATTAATTCTTCATCTCATAACGACAATAGCATTATTTATTCATCTAAAAACAATAGCATTAATTCTTCAATACACACGTCGTCAAATTCATTACCTCTATTTAATTATCCGTCTTTTATAAAACATTTAAATTATGATCGATTGTATAATTCGATAGATCGTTGGTGCAAAATGGAAAGATACATACCTGACACCATGGAAGTCTACGTGATGAGAGCTTTATTGAGATTAATGGCTGATAGTGGTGGAATTTTGACAACTTTAAAAATTCATCCAAAGCATTCAAGTGAATTTAGATATTGTTTGATACACGAACCTGAGATTTGCGGATTATTTGAAAAAGTAAAATATTTGACACATGATGGATGTTGTTATGTTGACTATACGATGCCACTTGCGCTATCAAAGATTTGTAAAGATGTGGTATGTTTTTTTTTTATTTTTTATTTTTTTATTTTTTATTTATACTATTGATAATCTTATTTATTTTAAAAATCATTATTTAAATGCTAATATATAACAAAAAAAAAATTATTATTATTATTTAAAAATTACTATGTTATTAGAAACATCTTTGTCTTTATGGTTGGAATGCCCAAAATTTTCGAGTTCAATCTCATCGTTCTGGTTCTGACCTCACGCAATTCATTTCTCAACAATCTACCTTATATTCTCTAAACTTAAAAAGATGTCATAGATTTACTCCATACGTTCTTTCTGGTCTTTCTTCACAAATAAAATTCTTAAAATATTTACATTTCGAATATGTTGATTTTGAAGGTTGCGGAGCGTGGAATGATATCGCTGAATGTAAAAATTTGGAAGTATTCAAGATAGCATTTTGTTGTAATATTAATTGGGAGATGGCAAAACCAGTCATAAAAGGAAAGTTTAGAAAGTTAAGAAAGGTGGTGGTATGGGAGGTAGATTGTAAAGAGTTGATAGAATGGGCGAAAAAATTTAATAATAACGAGCTTGGACGATCTATTAAATTGAAAAGAAGTATATGCTAAAGAAATAATATAAAGCTATAGTATAAATAAATAATGATCTATTGGATTATTTTAATTATTTTAACTAATATTAATAATTTTAAAATAAATTTATGTGTGTATTACGTATCAATGTCATGACGTTGATAAAAACGAATGATATAGAAAATTAGTTTCATTTTATATTTTATACTTAATATTAATTGTTTATATTAAAGCATCCATTATCAAAATTATCAAATAAATATCATATTTTTGCCAACAGAACTTTAGCATATTTGATTTTTTTGTTAAATTTATCCAAGATTTTTTTTTTTTATTCTACTTTCTGTAGAGACAATGCTTTCTTCTCTCTAATCGCTCTCACTACAGATAATAATTGAGAGACAATAAGAATCAAAAAGTAAAAAATGTAAAAATATTTACATTTAATAAAACGTGTCATTATTCTTATAGGGAGGATTTAAATTCTTTTTTTAAAGAATGACTTTATGATGGGTAAAAGAATTCGAAAAGAATTAAGTCTTTTTACGGGAAGTTATAATAGTATTATAATTGTTTAAAAGATAAAGGCATAAATGCTATTATTAAAGTTTCATTGAAAATAATCTTTGATATATTGGAAATCGAGTTAAATAATAAATATTGAGAGCTTTAATAATATTTTTTTGATGAGAGGGCTTTGTTTTTTTCGTCTTATAATAATATCTTCGAATGTGGAAATTTTCCATTTTCACGAATTTCCTGTTAGTCCTTTGGAAATTAAAAGCGCAGCTGACTAATATTTAAATTATCTATTATTGTTCTCGGTTATAAGATTTTACTCTTATTCTTGATGCAAAAGAGGTATTTAAAACTAATATATTTTTTATTTTTATTTTTTATGGCTTATATAAATTAAAGGTCATAAAAATATAAAAGAATTAATATCATATCATTAATATTAAACATTAAATTTTAAAAATAAAGTTTTTACAATGAAAAGAAACAAATAATTTAAATACATTGGTTTTTAATTTATTAAATAGATTAATAAGTGTAAATACAAAAAAACTATACTAAAAAATAAAACATTTCTTAAAAGCTAAATTCCCTAATTAGTTTTCCTATTGACTTTGAAAACTTCATAATCAATAATTGAAAATCTCCCTTTTGTTATAATAGGTTTTTCATAATGACCATTATTATTAAAATACCCAGATTCATTCATGTTAAAATTAGATTGGTTACTGTACATAAAAAAATAACTTCCTCCAAAATTAGGGCCATAATATTTTTGATTAACGTTATTATAATAATGTATTGCATATTTAGGTGTCTTTACTCTACTAAGAATTGAATTTCGAATATTACCATTTTTCAATGAGAAAATGAAACTATCATTTGTTTCCCTATAAACACCAAAAGAAGAAGTATCACTGTTATCCCACATTAAAGGATTATAACAACCCAGAATTTCATCAGTTCCTTTGACTTTTATAATAATTACCGTACCAGCGTGACCATTGCACATGTTCCAAAACGTTTGTGGAGCAAATCCATCTTTGCTTCCTCGCAAAATTAACTGAAATTCATATGGATAATTTGTTGAAGGATAAGTAGTATTTTTACGATCAATCCAGGAAGAAATTTCTGCAGCATGATCATCAGAAATAATGGTTGAAAAGGGTTCTTTTGAACGAGCAGGTAATTCAGGAATCAAAATCGTTCTTGCTGGTAAAATAACTGATTTCTTTGGTTGATTAGAAGACATAAAATGCTGTACTAAATCTTCCCAAAGTTGTTTGTCTAGAATTCTTTTGTAAGGTTTTACTTTTTTCGAGACATCATCACCAGAAATATGAAAATATCTAATATATGGTAAGCAATGTTGAAGAGTGGTCTTCAGGGTTAAAAAATTATCCTTGCTCCATTCATCAAGGTTGACAGGAAGAGTAGGATTTTGAGCAATTCCCCATTTGATAATATATTCCCAGATTTTGACTTCTTCCATCTGTAAGTCATCACGTTTAAGAAGAGACACCAAAGCAGATTCTTGGAGAGATGCAAAATCTTCGGCATCAAAAATAAGATTAGGGTACTTTGCAACAATATTATTGCAATAATTTTCTAAATCTTTAAAGTTATCATTAATAAAAATTGTACGATGTACAAGAGAAAAATGTGATTTTAACCAAGAAGTTTTATCTTCAATAAGAATAGTTTCTAGTTTTTTCGATAATTCATCAAGTTCAAATTTGTTAGCTGCTAACATCAAGTCAAAAATAATTCTTGTTTCAATATTCTCTAGATTAACAATCCCACCATAAATATATCTATATATAATTTGATACAAAGATTAAATTATGATTAGTTAAATCATAATATTAATTTTATTTTTAAATAATTATAACATACTTGAGTATAATATCAAAAATTTGAGCAGAAATGTCTTTTTTAATAATGGTCTTGACATTATTTTCATTTGGATTAATAGTATCCAATTCTTTATGAAAATAAGCAGACCGACATTTAAGCACATTGGAGTGTGCAGTAAAATTTTTCTTATCTTCAACTTCGATGATTACATTGTAATCATCTTTGTCAGTAAGAAGTTCAGTAAAATTTTGAGATAATTTATTAAGAAATTTTAATGCCATTTTTTTTTGCTTATGGATTGTTGTAGTAAAAATGCTAAGCGAAAAAACCGTAAATTTTCGCAAAAATTTCTGTTGTGATGTTCTAAGCACAGTTTCTTGTTGCACATGCACACTTCAATTGCCATAATTTATATTTATTATTAAGCACGGATTACGCCAAACGAGTTTTTTTTTTAATTTTCGTTACTTAGAAAGCTGATTCGGAATGTAACTTTTTCCAACTATATATAAAAATTACTTTTTAATCGTTAAAAAAAAAGGCATATCTTTTTATTTTATTGATGTTGACATTTTGAAACTAAAAATATATTTAAATCAGAACCATTACTTTTTATGATGTTAATGGAGAAAGTGATTTTTTTATGATAGTTTTTGTGATAGATTATGGTTTATATGCAATATAAGCAAGCATCGGTTTTTGGAGAAATTTGTTAGAAATTTTTTTTTTTAGGGTGAGGTTATAAATTTTAATATTGCATTATAATAAAACATTTTTCCAAAATAATCATTATAAAATAGATAACAGATCCTTATCATACAAATGTTGACGATCAATTATCAAGATTTAATGATCTTGTGACAAAAATTGATGAATTAAATGATTTTATGGTGTAATTACTTCTTTCTTCTGAACCAGATAACCTTTAATTTCTGTTATTTTTTTTCCTTTTTTTAACATTATCATTTGTAGACCATATTAGGCCTCTTATTTTCTTTTTTCAAATCAATTATTTTTATTCCGCAATTTTTTTTGAGGTTCTTTTCCAACCTTACTAATGTTTCCCCTGTTTGACTCATTTCATTTAATAATAATTGGTTCGTTTCTTTAGGGCTCACATTATCTTTCCTTGAAATGATACCAGATCATTACAGTCTTTTTTTGGGGGCATTTTCATGTAAGATGTAATGAGGATGCTTATCGTAAAAAACTTAGAATAATTGTCACATCATCACATCCATCAACATCAAAGTTGTTACAGGATTTGTCTTCTTCAGTGTCAAAGTTAATACAGGCTTTAAATTTCCATCACGGGCCTCGAAAGAATTTTTTCCTCATATCCACATTTAATAGTGATGATAAACGCACAGAATAATTTAATCATTTTTGGTTCACTACGCCTCAGTTTTTTTTTTTTTTTAGCTAATTATAATTAGGATAAATAATTATTTAGATTACACAAATAATATCTAAAATAGTCCTTTTGGTTATTCGCTTGTTTGTTTATAATATCGAAAACATCGTGATCAAATTTATGCAATGCATACCAAATAACATTAATTTTATTTTTCCTTGTCGAACATTTTTAAAGAGATATATATTTGTCTTGTTCTACAACATTAATTGAATTAAAATGTTAGGTACAAATTTTTTTTAAAACTTTATATATAAAAATAGTTATTTATTTTATTTTATTGTATATTCTGAAATCGAACGTATATAAAAAAAAAATCTTTTCCTTCTAAACCATGTTTTCAATGTAAAAAAAAAATCGTTTCAGTCATAAAAAAGGCAAAAAAATGTAGCAATCCTCGCCAAATATCTAAAAATAAATTTCCCATCTTCGACATAAATATTGAATGTTTTATTTCCAAAGTTGGCAAAATTGGGGGAATAAAAAATTTTTTAAAATATTTTTTTATATAACCGATTAAAATATGTTTACATGTTCTTTTGGAATGGAGCGTTCTTAATGCCAATAAAAGTTTGGCTCCCGTAAAAAAAGGGATAAAAAGTTAAAAATTAAATTTTAAAGAATTATTTTATACATTACAAATTTTGAGAATCAAAAAAAGTGTTGGTTTCGAATAAAATGAAATATTTAATTCAAGTCTTAATAAATAATGTAAAGGTACGAAAAGGTGTGTATCTTTTAATAAATTTTTGAGTAGTGCAAATAACTAAATTTGTAATGGAATTTAAAGTGTTACACCCACCCCCCTAGAAAAACGAATCGATTAACACTCTTTTTTTTCAAACCTTAAATTTAAAAGAAAATCGAATATTTCAAAAAATTTTCTTTTTTTTTAATTATTATAATCTTTTTTTTTTTTAAAAAAAAATAGTCAATCAACAATAATTAATAATAAATGTTATTAAATAAATTAGGACTTTGTAGTTGTTTTGACCCATTCGGTTCAGCCAGCAGAAAAATACACGACGAAGACCAATTTTATTATCTATCGTCGTCTTCTTCGACTTCAACGATATCAACGATATTACAAGTTGCACAAACAATTCCATCAGAAATTCTGATAGAGATATGTGGTTATTTGCATCCTCAAGATTTATATTCTTTAGCATCCGTTTGCAAAAGATATAGAAGTTTATTATGGTCAAAAAGTTCAACTACCACACAACAAATTTGGAGAACTTCTAGACTTAAATATGTTGTAAATCTTTCATTGGCACCTCCTACAGGAATGTCAGAACAACAATATATTTGGTTAATGGTTTTATTAAATAAATGTATGTTTTGTGATGAAAGAAAGAAATTAAAATTAACGATGTATTGGGAATTTAGAATGTATTGTTGTAAAAAATGTTTATATGAAAGGATTGTCAGGTAATAATATTATTATTTCTATTATTTCTATTATTTATTTCTTTATTACTATTATTATTATTGTTATTGTTATTATTAATTTAATCAATCATTTAATAAATTGATCATTCATTAATTAATTATTAGTCGACAAACACTTTTAAACGAATATAACGTTTCCGAAGAATTAATGGAATGTTTTCCGCGATTATTAAAAAGTGTGAATTCAGGAGATCCAATATTATATCTTAAAAAGGATGTAATAAAAACTTTAAATTATTATAATCAATTAAAAGTTTTTGAAAGAAAACAATGGATCAAACGACAAGAAACAAAAATAATCAAATTTCAATTAGAAAATGAAAAATATAATAATTTACATGATCAAACAAGATATGATCATACCGAAAAAATAGAAAGATTATTGATAAAATTACATGAATGAACTCTTTTTTTTTTTTTTTTGTAAAATTTGGATTTTATGAATTATATATATATATATATTTGGGAGGCTTTTTTTTTTGCATTTTCATCTCATCGTTAGAATTATTAGGACATTGAACATTTGAACATTTGGAAAATTGAGAATTTAAAATTTTAAAAAAGGACATTAGAAAAATTATTAAAACTATTAATTACAGATTTTTTTTTTATAATTTCTTTAATCAAATAATTTTAGAAAGACTTTCAATCTTCTCGCCATCCTAATTATTTATCACTATTCTCACTAATCACTTTTCATATATATTTTTATTTATAAGAAATCATTCTAGGAATCTTAGTTGGGCTTTTATATATGGATTATTTGGTCGGAGAAATAAAAAATGAATGATAATTAGTTAAAAAATCAAAATAAATTCATTGTTTTAATAAAGAATTTTTACTATAAAACCAGATTTACGTGATTTTTCTTTTTTTTTTTTTATTTCTTATTTTCTGATATATCAGTTTTTTTTTTTTTGACAAAATGTATTTTTTTTCAGAATCACTTATTAAGCAAAAAAAAAAAATAAAATAAAAAATAAAAAAATGTAAATATTATTTTAAGAAATTAAAATATATAATCTGAGAATATTCACACATTCTCGTAAATATAATAATTAAAAAAATAATAATTAAAACTTTCCAATCATTTGTTCACGTCAAAAATTACCAAATCTCTCTACTCGTACATCTTCCCCCGCGAAATATGTATGGATAATCAGTACTCATATGTAATGTTCGAAATAATCTTTCCAACCTTTCATAATGATCATATCTTCCAATATCATGTTGAACGTTATATTCTCGATTGGTATCCTTTAATTTTGCCATTCTTTGAGATTTTTCAGTAATCCAAATTTTCCTTTCTTTGTCACCAGTTAATTTATTATAATTATTTAATAATAATTTTACTTCTTTCATTAGAAATAATTGAGGTCTTTGTGCGTTAGCTGTTAATGGTTGCATACATGGTAAAAGATAAGTAGGTAGTTCCCATTCTTTAATTAATGTATCACGACTAAATTAAAAAAAACAAAAATAATAATAATATATTTAAAAAAAAAATTTAAAAAAAAATATATATATAAAAATCAAAAAAAAAAAAAAAAAAAAAAACAAAAGAAAAAATTATTAAGTTTTTTTAGTCTAACCTAACAGTTCGTTCAGCTAAACATCGTTGACAACAATACATTCGAAATTCAAAATGCATCGCCAATTTCCACCTATCTTCTTCTTCACAAAACATGCATCGCTGTATTAATACCATCATATAAATGAATTGTTGTTCCGACATATCATCCGGTGGTTGTAATGTGAGATGTGGCACAAATTTATGTCTTGCAGTACGCCAAATTGATTGTGTCGTCGCGGATTTATTTGACCATAAAAGTTTTCGATAACGTTTACATATCATCGAAAGTGAGTAAAGATCAATTGGTGATAAATAACTACAAATTTCGATCAATAATTCAAAGGGTAATTGTGATGCCATTTTTAATTATTATGATATTCGTATGAATGTTTTTGAACAAGGATTTTTTCTTTTTTTGTTTACTCAAATAAAATGTTTATCCAAGAAAAATTATTTAAAAATCGATTATTATGATTTTGAGGATTAATGAGTTTAAGTTTAAAAGTTAAAAAAAAAAAATAAAAAAAAAAATACGAAAAAATAAGAGAAAAAATTATAAGGTTATATTAGTTATCGATCATATCAATATATACAACAAAAAATAAAATCAAAATAAAGGGGATAAAGAATTATTTAACAAGGAAGAGAAAAAAAAAACTGATTCTTTTTTTCTGATTACTTCTTTTTTACTACTTTAAGCCATTATTTAGGGAAAGGGCGGAAATAAGATATAAAAAAATACCAGTATTTTTTTTTGACTTTCATTTCCGTTTATGGATATATTGGAATACCCTTGGAGGTGGACATGAAACACACATTTACGTTTGCATTAAAAAAAAAAACAAGGAAATCTTTTTTGTTATTATTTTATATATTCGTCACCAAAGTGTGACAGATAGTAAATATAACTTGGACTGATGATAATACAATTAAAAAAAAAAAAAGTTTATAAATAGCAGATTCCCCGTGGTAATACATCGCCGACTCCTATTTTCTCATCATATTGATATTTAAATAAAAAAATGGCAATATGATCATTTATTATATAATTAATCAAAATAAATAAATATTTGTTGAATTATTATAATTATTCATCGAGTGACAAGATCAAGTAAGAATTTTTTTTTTTCTTTATGATAAATAATCTAATAACACATATAATTGCATATGCATACATTTATGCGATATACGATATACACTAGACCTTAAAAGTGCGTCATCTTTATATGCGTAAAACCGACTTTGTTCTGATTAGATAAAGGTTAAAAAATTTTGTTTGTTTGTAATGAAAAAAAACGACGGATACGTTATAAAGGATTGACGTTGTGATACTTTCTATACATATTCACAAGAAAGGAAATTGAATAAGGATGAAATGATATTGGGGGTGAAAATAAATAAATTACAATTACATTTTGAGTATCGGGAATTTATAATTCGGAAGAATTACGTACAATAATAATATCATCTGTCATTGTCTTCCTAATAAAATTGTCATCTGTCAATCACATTCAAATTTATTATTTTGACACAAGAATATCTTATGAATTTTATGAATTCTGATTTTATTTTTAAACTTTAAGTTCACTAAAAAAGGATAAATTTTAATTATATGATGAGTAGATAACTTTAACACACAATAAAAAATAATTTAGCAATTTAATAATGTATCCTTTTTTAAAAGATCATATACTTCTTTTCCCAACGATTTTTTTTTTAAAAAGTTTCCACGGAGAATTTCATTTAACCGTTTTATTCTTAAATAATTATTTTATGATATCATACTTATTATACGATGTATGAACTCTTTATTATATGACAAATTCTTGTTTGATAATAATTGATAAGATGAATTTAGAAATGTTCTTTTCCAAATAAAGATATATTAAAATAACCAAGTTAATAAATATTTGATAATTTATATATATATACACACTGAGTGTTATCTTTTTTACATCCTGAATTTTTTATTAAACATTTAATTACATGTAAACAGTATCAGTATGTAAAAATAAATAATTATATGTAGTACAATAAATAATGAATGATTAATGTATACTGTAACTTAAATCAATTTTTGCTACAACTTTTTTTTTTTAACCACCTTTCTTAACTATTTTTTTTCTTTACAAACATGGGATCCTTTTTATCTAAACTTTCATCCCCGACAATTGAATTTTGCTTTACATCTAATCAAAGTCCGGATCTAATTGTTAAAACCTATAGTAATTATAATATTCATAGCATTAACAATTAACAGTTATTAATATTTATAGGGAACTATATAAACAACTACTTTTTCTTTCCCTCCAACTTCGGTTTTGACTACTTAAATACAAAGTCTAGTAAATAAATAATTAAAGGGGTTAATTAAAAACTCAAAATAAATGAAGAAGGTAGATCAATTCTCAATTGTCAAAATAATTGCTGATTACGTATTGTAATAAATATTAGACAGTAAAAAAATATCGCCGATTATTTAGTTTCGAATAGTATATTAGATTATTAATATTTCAGACTGATAAATGGACAGATGATTGATAATTTCTTTGATTACGTATCAATAATGACAAGCTGACTGGAACATCAGAATTTTATCCAACATTGATAAATTTTGTTTTAATAAATTAATTTATCTATTACTGATTTATAATTAATAGGCTTGTATGTAAATTACTATTGTTAGTTGAAATATGATAGCATTTGTATTCAGGGAAAGCACAAATTTTTTATCATTTGAATAATCATTAACTATTATATTACTAAAACAAAAAAATCTTTATTGACAATCGTTCTAACAATATTAATAAGAATGTAATTGACGTTTGTTTTTCAAGTCGTAATCTCATCTTTATAGCCTCTAAAATGAAATTTAGTATATCCAAATGCAAAAACATAAAGAGATGTTAAATTTCTCCCTAGACAAAAATCTAAAAATTCGCTTGCAGATCGACTTCATTTTATATTTTGTTTAATTTTATTAATATTTATCATGGCTATCATGGCATGATTAATTAATAATATAATATTATTTAAAAATTGCAGCAACTATTTTATTTTATATTAAATAATTTTTTTCAATAACCTTAATGCTACATAATTGAAAATCGAAAAAAATATGATGATGTTTTTATAAAACAATCCATGCAGAAATCGTTCTTCAAAAATAAAAGTTGAAATTTCATTTTTCAAATAATAATATTTTTATATATATAATCTTATAATAGATTAATAAGTATAAATACAGCTTCAAATATAATAAAAAATAAATATTTCTTAAAAACTAAATTCCTAAATAGTTCTTTGAAAATTTCATAATTAATAATTAGTAAATACTAATAGGTTTTTCTTAAACGCATAGTAAAATTGCCATATATTAAGTAGTGTTGAAATCCTAATTTAAAAGACCATCCGAATTCAATCTGGATTCATTCAATCAAATCCGAATTATCCTTAAAATTTAGGATAAATCAAGGATGATCCTTAAAATAAGGATAGATCCTAAAACTAAGATGAATCCTAGAAATAAAAAAATTTTGATGTATTACACATGATTAGCATCTAATTTTAACCAATAATAATACGTACAATGATTTTTTAAGATTACATGTTATTTTATAACGGATTTAAATCCTTTTTAAAAATCTATATATCCGAATTTAGGATCACAATACTAATACGTATTAAGATTACCGACAACAAATTTTTTCTTACTCTAATAAGAATATTACCATTTTTTTTAATGAGAAAATGAAACTATCATTTGTTCTATATTAACTATCAAAAGTATTATTACATTACATATTCCACATTAAAGGATTATAACTACCCAGGATTTCATCAGTTCTTTTAACTTATAATAACCACTGCATCAGCGTGACCATGGTATATGTTCCTCGTAAAATTGACTGAAATCATATGAATAATTGTTGGATAAGTAGTATTTTTATGATCAATCCAGGAAATTTCCGCAAACGTGCATGAATCATCAGAAATCATGGTTGAAAAAAGTTCTTTGAACGAGCAGGTAATTCAGTAATCAAAATTGTTCTTGCTGGTAAAACAACTGATTTCATTGGTTAAGTAGGAGATATTAAATACTGCACTAAATCTTCCCAAAGTTGCTTATCAAGAATTTTCTTTTAAGGTTTTACTTTTTTCGAGACATCATCACTAGAAATATGAAAATATCTAATATAAGGTAAGCAATGTTGGAGAGTGTTCTTCAACGTTAAAAAATTATCCTTGTTCCATTCATCAAGGTTGACAGGAGTAGTATTTTGAGCAATTCCCCATTTGATAAAGTATTACCATATTTTGGCTTCTTCTACTTGCAAATAATCTCGTTTGAGAAGCAGCTTCTTGAAGAAATGCAAAATCTTCAGCACCAAAAATAAGATTAGGATACTTTGCAACAATATTATCACAATGATTTCTAAATCTTTAAAGTTATTATTTGATATACAAAAGAAAAGTGTGATTTTAACCAAGGAGATTTATCTTTGATTAGAAAGGTTTCTAGTTTCTTAGATAACTCTTCGAGCTCAAATTTGTTCGCCGCTAATTTCAAGTCAAAAATAACTCCTTCTCCTTCGAATTAACAATACAGATGTATCTGTATATCTTCTTTTAATGACTAACGGGCCTCCTCTTTATTCATAAATGAAATGTATCTGTAATAGCAATGAATAAGTTAAACCACAATGTAATTTAATTTTTAAATAATGATAACATACCCGAGTATATAAAAAAATTAGAGCAGAAATGTTTTGAATAATTGTCTTGACATTATTTTCATTTGTATCCAATTCATAAGGTGAGCGACATTTAAGTACATTTCAAGTGGGTGCCGTAAAAGTTTTATTTTCAACTTCAATGATTGCATTGTAATCATCTTTGTCATTATGAAGTCCAACAAAATTTTAAGATAATTTATCAAAGAACTTTAATGCAATCTTTAATTTTTGTAAATTTGAAGAACAAAAAAAAGCAATGTCAAAAAAATGGGAACAATAGTCAATAATGACAAACTAACCTATTCAGATTTATTTTAAAATGCGTTCTATTTGTTATAATTAGGTTATAACCATCATATATATACAGTATTCTCAATACTGAATTTTTTTATTATTCTTTTATTCCGGAAAAAGATTATATAAAATAAGAGAAATCCACTAATTTTGCTTTTTTTTCTTCGTGCACTAACTTGACACACACACAACAAACTCGCACACCCTCTTCTTGGGGAGAATTTCATTACTTAAATATTAATTAATTGAATTCTTAAATAGAATTCATAAAAAGAAATGCTTATTGCCATAAAATGACCTTTAAAAAGTACATATTATATTTGAAGTTAATATTCAAATATTTTTTTATGATGACTTAAAAAAAATGTATTAAAATTTTTTGATAAATTATTTTTCCAAAGTTAAAAGTCAAAAATTTTTTTTAATAAAAAAATATAATGAATTATCATGATCAATAATCATTTTTAACTTGCAAAAGATCCAAAAAAATTTTAATTTTAATTTATTTATTAGATTAATTAATATAACTTCATTATGATAAAATACAAAGAATAAAGCAATAAATATTACTTAAAAACTAAATTCTAGGTAGTTTTACTATTTAATTTGAAAACTTCATAATCAATGATTGAAAAGTACCCGTTTGTTCTAATGGATTTTTCATAATGAATATTATTACCGGACCAAGATGCATTATCTATAGTAAAATTAGACAGATTACTGCGCATATAAAGATTATTTCCAAAATTAGGGCCATAATATATTTGCACATTGGGGTATCTTTACTCTGCTAAGGATTGAATTTTGAACATTACCATTTTAATGAGAAAATGAAACTATCATTTGTTTCCCTATAAACATTAGAAGCATTACTGTTATCCCACATTAAAGGATTATAACCTCCAATAATTTCATCAGTTCCTTTGACTTTTATAATAACTACCGTATGAGTACATGTCCCAAAACGTTTGTGGGGCAAATCCATCTTTGCTTCCTCGTAATATTAACTGAAATTCATATGGATAATTTATTGAAGGATAGACAGTGTTTTTACGATCAATCCAGGAGGAAATTTCTGCAGCATGATCATCAGAAATAATGGTTGAAAAAGGTTCTTTTGAACGAGTAGGTAATTCAAAAAATCAAAATTGTTCTTGCTGTAAAATAAGTGATTTCTTTGGCTGATTAGGAGATAAAAAATGTTGAAATAAATCCTCCCAAAGTTGCTTATCAAGAATTTTCTTGTAAGGTTTTACTTTTTTTAAGATATCATCACCAGGAATATGAAAATATCTAATATATGGTAAGCAATGTTGGAGAGTACTCTTTAAAGTCAAAAAATTATCCTTATTCCAATCATCAAGGTTAATAGGAAGAGTAGGATTTTGGTTAATTCCCCATTTGATAATGTATTCCCATATTTTGACTTCTTCCATCTGTAAATCATCACGTTTGAGAAGAGACACCAAAGCAGATTCTTGAAGAGATGTAAAATCTTCGACATCGAAAATAAGATTAGGGTACTTTGCAACAATGTTATTGCAATAATTTTCTAAATCTTTAAAGTTATTATTAATAAAAATTGAACGATAAACAAAAGAAAAGTGAGATTTTAACCAAGAAGCTTTATCTTCAATAAGAAAAGTTTCAAGTTTCTTGGATAATTCTTCAAGCTCAAATTTGCTTGCTCCTAACATCAAGTCAAAAATGATTTTTGTTTCAATATTCTCTAAATTAATAATACCACCATAAATATATCTACAAAATAATATATAATTAGATTACAATAATTAAATTGTCATTAATTAAATCATAATATCTGATACTGATATCATTTTTAATTGTTAAATAATTATAATATACTTGAGAATAATATCAAAAATTTGAGCAGAAATTTCAGGTTTAATAATTGTCTTGACATTATTTTCATTTGGGTTAATAGTATCCAATTTTTTACGAAAGTAAGGTGAGCGACATTTAAGTACGTTAGAGTGTGCAGTAAAAGTTTTTCCTTTATTTTCAACTTCGATAATTACATTATAATCATCTTTGTCATTTAGAAGTTCAGTAAAATTTTGAGATAATTTATCAAAAAATTTTAATGACATTTTTTGTGAATTGTGTAGTTGTAGTAAATAAATAAAAAATAGAATGAGTTTTTGGTACTTATTGTAACTGAGGTTTCAGGTGTCAGCTGAGGTATCTCAGGTGTCACCCTTTGACCAGAATTAGAACTGGCCTATGTAGATCCTCTGTAAATCCCTTTAATTTCAGCCAACCCTAACCCTAATTTAGATCAGTTGACATCCAAGTCAAGAAGACATCTGAGGGCACAAATTGCATGTCAAATGTTATGGTTAATGATAATAAAAATGGTGTCGTCATTGTAACAGTACTATTGTTAATTGTTTAAAGAATTCTGAAAGTGGTTGAAATGTATTTCTGTTAAATTATTATCGAGAATAAAATAATTATTTACCAGTGGACAAATGATATTTAATTAAAATAAGGATCGTATAATACAATAATTTCAGACACAATAACCTATAGACATATTTATTTTATTTTTTTAAATAAAAAAAAAATTGTATATGAACACACAGATTGTTATTATAGCATTCAGTTAATAATAATAATTACCTTAATTATTTTTACTTTCTTCTCATCAACATCTGTTCCTGCCACAGAAAAAAAAATCTTCCTTGAATATTAACAATATCTCCTTTATTAAAACGATCTATGATGTTATCCCCAGTGATATCTTTTGGATGGAAAGCCGTGATGTGAAGAAAAATATCAGCATTACAACAAAATTATATTTCCCAGAAATTTTATCCTTTTTATAAAAATCCAAATTTTTTATTATTTACTTTATTATTTTTTTATTATTATTTTTTTATATTATTTTCTTATATTATTTTTTATTATTATTTTTTTGATAGATTATTTATTAATTAACTAAAAATGAAGATTCGTCATCAATATCTATCTTGCGTAAGAAAAATTTTATCGCACAAAAAAAGGAAAAAAATAAAATCGAAATTTGTTGGTTATTTTTTAACTATGTCATCAAAATCACTTTTTTTATCTTCAAAAAAAATATTTAAACACACCTCCTTCACAAAAAATAAAAATATATACACAACAACCCTTTCATTATCTTCATCACGTAAATGTAATCCAAAATTTACACTATCAATCATTATTTCTTTTACAGCGTCTAAAGAAATATTTTTATAATCTTCTGCAATAAGTCTGTTAGTTGTTCCTGGAACAAGTATTTGAACCATATATTGAGATGTTGATTGTGGCCTACAAAGGTCTGTGGTCAATATACCAGATTGGAGAAATTTTTTGGTTAATAAATTATTATTATTAAATATTAATTAATTAGCATTAAATTAACCTTCACTGTTCGATGAAAATCTTTATTATAATAAAAAGAAAAAGCACGAATTTAGGTAAATTTGACTGTGTTAGGTAAAAAACACGAGAATTAAGTATTTAGCATTTCTGGAAAGCATGTAGACATCAAAAGAAATATAAAAAGAGTGGATTCTTTTTTGTTTCCTCCGGAGAAATCAAAATACAATTTATAAATCAATTATTCAATTATTCAATTATTTAATTAATAAAACTTCAAAAATTATTCAGAGTGGTGACAAAAAGCAAAATTTTCACTTTTTTGGCAGCTTTATTTTTAATCTGTCTTGTATTATCTCACGCATCTCCCTTACCTCGTACTATTGGTGATCTCATTACCAAAACTCGATGGAAAAATTACATTCACTCAAGTCGAAAATTCATTTGTAAAGGCATCGAAGAAAATACACCGATGACTATTTTTATCAATTGAAACTGTGGGAGTGACCTCCACTAAATTGGATATTATAATAAAAACACCTGGTGTTATTCCCCAGATAGCGACAAGTTGATCAGTTCAGCTAATCGGTTTAGATTTATCGATTCTTTACGGGAATGAAGTTCTTGATTCTGGAAAAATCACCAAAGCCTAAACATTTTCTTTTTTTAAAATTTTTATCCTCTCGAAAATGTTTAGATTAATTTAGAAATATTCGATTGTTTAGTCTGTTTTAATTAGTTTTAATTTTAATTAGTCAATAATATAATTATTCTATTTATTATTTTATTTTATTTAATAAAAGTTTTTGCCCGCCTAAACTCAGGCTTTAATGTTATTAAAAGTTTTTAATGATCAATTTTATTGTTTAATTTGCTCGAATCATTTAATTGTTTTTCATTTTTTTAATTTTATTATTTATTTATTAAAGAATATATCATTATACATATGTTACACGACACGAAACTTTCACGCTTTTCGTGATTATAGAGGTTGTGATTAAAAAGGAGTGAAAATCTCATATGATTTTTTTAATTATATAAATACTCACACGAAGACTGAACATCAATTAATGGCTACTAGTTTAAAGCATAGGCATGTAACAGAGTCTGGAGAAGTTACTGAACCGGTGGAAATTCTTGACGAACAAGGTAAGAAACATATTTATGTATTTTAATCATATACTTTCATATATATATAATTTATTAATTTTACTTATAATATATGTTATGAATGAAAGAACAAGAAGAGTTGATTGAGGATCTTCGAGTGCAGAATGATCGAGCGAATAATTTTTTCAAGGTCTTTATAATTTTTGTAATTTTTATTCTTTATAAATTTTATTTATATAATTTATATAATTTATATATTTATATATCCACAATTTAATTTAATTTAAATTTATTTATTTAATATAAATTTTAAATAATAATAATAATAATATAGAAAATATTATCGTTTCTTTCCTTGATGATAATGGTATTGTAAGTTAAAATTTAATAATAAAAATTCTTAAGAGAAAAAATAGTAGAAAATAATAGAAATAATAAAAAAATTGATAAGATAAATTTTAATTTTCCCTTTTAGGTTTCTCATTTTTCTATATGAAATAGTAAGATCATCATCCGGAATTCTTTCACTTCCTTTACCAACTAGTGAAAAGATTTTATCATATACACCATTTCCTTTGATTTCAACAATATTTTCAATTAGCGCATTAATATTTTCAATATATTTATTACAAGCCCAAAATGTTACCTTCATTCATATTTATTCAGGAGCATTTCTTTCTTTAGTACCAAATATTTTAGCAATTAATACATCAGAGAGAATGGAAAAATTATGGTGGGGAATACCTCTTGGATTACTTATATTGGATATTATCGCTTTATTATTAATTAAAGATTCAGAACAAGATGTTAAAAGTTTAGAGAAATTAAAATATAAGTATAAGGGTGCTTAATTATATATTTTAAATTAGAAAATCTGGAAAAAAATCGAATCAATGTGATTGAATGCAATTTTTGTAAATTTTTTTTTTTTGAATATATTTAAATTTCTTCTCTGAATAAAAAAATATAAATTATTATCAAGGTTACATAGTGAATATACAATTATTTTAATCGGACATGTGATCTAGATTCTTGCTCATCATTTTGTCGTTGCACGAAACAAGATTTTTCAAAATTTTTATTTTTAGAATGGACGTAGAGATTGCTCGTAAAACTTTTGAATTCTCTAACAATATTGTACAAGTAGATCCCGCCCAAGATCATATATATCGGTACAATAATGACGAACAAGTACAAATAAACCAAGAAAAACCTTGGACCAAAGAGTAATTATCTAAAATTATTTTTGTAATCGTTTAAAATTATTTAATATTTCATTTAAATTATTTTAAATTAATGTAGTGTTCATTACTTTACAAAAATCAAAATTTCGGCAGTAGCACTTATAAAAATGGTTGGTATTGAAATGATTTTTTATTTAAAAGTAACATAATTACTAATATTATATATATATTTTAGGTAATGCATGCCCGATCTGGTGGAAGTATTGAAGTAATGGGTCTTATGCAAGGAAAGATTGATGGTAGTACTATGATCATTATGGATGCATTCGCTTTACCGGTTGAAGGAACTGAGACAAGAGTTAATGCTCAAGCTGAAGCTTATGAATACATGGTTCAATATTTGACTACTATTAGGCAGGTCAATAAATAAGATCAAATTTTATTATTAAATTCTTTTCTTAAATTAAAAATTTTTTAAATTATTCTAATTTTTAAATTTTTAAATTTTTAAATTTTTAAATTCTTGGATGATAAATATATTTATAGGTGGGTAGACTTGAAAACGTTGTAGGTTGGTATCATAGTCATCCGGGATATGGATGTTGGCTTTCTGGAATTGATGTAAATACACAAATGACGAATCAAAAATATCAAGATCCATTTGTTGCCGTAGTTGTAAGTCAATTTATTAAAAAATATTATTAATATTATAGAATATTATTCAATAATAAACCTATTTTTTTTTTTTATAGATCGATCCCAATCGAACCGTATCTGCGGGAAAAGTTGAAATTGGTGCTTTTAGAACTTATCCAGAAGTAAATAACCAAATAAATTTTATTATATAATATTTAACACATAATATTTAAGATATTAATATAATTTTATTTTATTCAGGGATATAAAGCTCCTGATGATGGACCTTCTGAATATCAAACTATTCCTTTGAGTAAAATTGAGGATTTTGGTGTTCATTGTAAACAGTAGGATAATTCATTATTTTTTATTTGCATTTCGTATATTTTATATGTATATTTTATATATTTATATTTTGTTTTATAATTTAGTGAATAATAATTTTATTTCTATTTTATTTTAGATATTATCAACTTGAAATATCACATTTTAAATCTACACTTGATACACATTTATTGGAATTACTATGGCATAAATATTGGGTTAATACGTTATCACAGTCACCTTTGATCACGGTAAATTGCTAAAAATTATTATTATTATTACAAAGATTATTTCACTATATTAAATTCTTTCTAAAGTCTAGTTCTTTAATATCATTTAATGTCATTTTATTTATTTTATTAGAATCGTGATTATTCAGCGGAACAAATTGCTGATTTAGCCGAAAAATTGGATCAAACCGAAACACAATTACAACAAAGTGGTAGAGTGTCTAGTTTTCCTGGAGGCGTGGGAGGGGGTCGTAGTGCTACTTCCCCTTCACAACCTACTTCAGCATCTTCGTTAGCTTCTAATACTAGTGGTACTGGCGGTTCCACATCTTCCACAACAACTGAAAAGAAAAGAGTAGAAGAAAGTCCACTTAGTAAAGTTACAAAGGATAGGTAATAAATTTTTATCTAAATTTGTTTATGTTAATAAATCATGTTACATTTTGTTATTATTATAATTTGTATTTTTATTAATTTTTATTTTATTTTATTTTTTTCTTAAGCACAAAAATTACTGTTGAGGCATGTCATGGACTAATCTCTCAAGTTCTTAAAAATGTTCTTTTCAATAAGCCATATTCTTCTATTTCGGAACAAAAGAAATCAGATGTGGTGGAAACTACCCCACCCGAGTAAGTTCAAAGATAAAAATGTGATTTTATTTTAATAATCTCTTATATTAACGTAATATTAATATTAACATATGATTAATATAATTAAAATATAAATATGTATTAAAAAGATTAAAAGAAGAATCGATATAAAAAAGTCATTCCGAAATTTTGATGCAGTCATGTGAATCAATAAATTAACAATTTTATAATTCGTTCCGTTCGTGTTTTCAGTTGCATGTATAAATTACATAAAATGTATTCACTGTAAACGGATAAATTATACAACGAGAAGAGACAATTCTACCAGCGGTCATTATTCATATCTAATACATTGATATACATTTGTGAACCCGCCTTAGTTTTTAAAACAAGTAAACAATATTCAGCTAGATTTAGATAACAGCTTATTTTTTACGGATTAAAGAATATGCCAAGCCAAAAATTTTTGTATTTACTTAATAAAAACAATAATCAAAATTTAAATTTAAAATTCCAAGAATGTAAACAAGTTACAAGTAATGTGCATCCAGGTTTTACCAAATTTAGAAATCTTTAAAAATTATTCTCAAAACAAAACGCACCAACGTGTAATGAGAACGTTTCAAATAAAGAAAATCTATTGTTAATATTTTTAGAAGACGAGTCTCATTTCAAGAAGAATACTAAATTACTGAATTATTCAAAATATCATCAAGTCACGTGTCCGTTACTTTTGTCAAAAAAATAAACATTTTAGACAAAGCGAAGGTAAAAAAAAACTTTAATTTTCAATTCTAATTAATTATTAACTCTTAATTGTTAATTCATCATTAACTTTAATATTAAATTGATTATTAAAAGAAAATAATACTTCCCTAAATAAATAGTTATAACTATTTTCTAAAGGTATTTTTGTAACTTTAGGAATTCCTCACGTGATCTTTTTAAAAGAACAATTAAAAATCGTACCAAAAATTCTATATATAATCACTTTTATTAATTTTCTTCTTTTTCCTCTAAATAATTTTTTTTTTAATCTTTTTTCCAGATATCATGACTTGATCACTCTAAAATTAATAGCAAATTTATAAGCAATGCAACAGTGTTTATCTTAAGGAGAAGTTGAATTTTTGAGTAACTCAACAAAACAAGGATTTCAACTAATACCACCGCAGAATCAATATAGAGTTACCAGTCAGTATTGTACGCAGTACATTTTATAAATAAACAAGTCTTGAAAGGAATTTCAATACTGCAGAACTGTTTTGGACATATGGAGAAAAGGCCTGATCTCCTGCATGATCAAGTTATTATTATATATACATTTTATTTATACTCGTTTTAATTTTCCTTGTAATTTTATAGTTTATTCGTCACATTCCTATTATTTTTTTTTTATGCAGCGCAGCACAAAAAAAAATTAAAAAATAAAAAAAAAGATATCTGTTGATATATTTGAAGAAATGCGCAACTACTTGAGTTGCTTTGAGCTTGTAATATATCAATTTCATCAAATCTACGAAACAACATTAATTTTTAGGTTTGATCTTTATTTTCCAATTAATAAAACATCATACATATTGCCTAAAGGCTTTTACAGCACGGCATACGTAATTTATTCCGAGAATAGATATATATACATCCCTTTTTTTGTCTTTGTTTTTTTTTCATAAATCAAAAAAGAAAGAAATTTCATTACAACAAAACAAGCATACAAAAGCATGCCTAAACATCTACAAATATTATCCTAATTTCAATATTTACACTTCACAAGAATATCATTTACGTATAAACAATTTGTGTCTAATCAATTTTTAGATTTTCCTTGTATGAATTTATACATCGTTCGATTCTACTGTAATAATCAATAACTAACTAACTATATTAACTAATATTTAAGAAATTCTTTTTTACTAAATTTGACTTCTTTTGTAATTAGTTCAAATTACAATTCACTAAAGCTTAACCCCCCAAGACTATTAAAAGTAACAATCAACAACATTATTATAATGAAACTTCTTTAAAACCTTTTTTAACTAAAAGCAATTCACATTCATTTGGATATTCAACGTGGTGTTACATTATCTTTGATGTAAATAATTATGCCATGGGACCTAAAATTTAGTAATCGAAGATCAGAAGGTGAAGATGTTACTATATATTCAGATCTTATTTGTGATTCTTTTAATTTAAATTATTACTTTTTTTTTATTACATACATATGTGTTTTTTTTTACTCTATAGGTATAATTAGGTATATATTAATTATATATTAGGTATATATTAGGTTAGATTTATGAAAATACCACAAAAAGATTTTCTTTGTAAATTTAGCATATTTATACAAAGAAAATCATAACCTCAGAATTGATAATTTTTCACGAGTTTTTTTTTTTTTTTTTTTTAAAAAAAAAAACAAAAAGTATGTTTTAATCCGAAACACTGATTGATGAGTAATCTCATCTGCTTGCTTTATGATGGCGGTGATGATTTATGATTTATGATTTTTAAGATGGATAATAATAATTGTTTTGACTATTTTCATCTTTCTTTAACAACTGATGATGGAATGAATCTCAACAATAGTCATCATCTTTTTTTTTTCTATAAAGATTATATTCAAATTTGATTCATTATTCTTATTATTCTTTGAATGTGACCCTCTCTATAATGAATAAATCTCAATTGTTCACCCCCCAAAAATAAAAAGAAACAACAACTTTTTTCGTGAAATTGAACCCCTGTAAATCTTGGGTTAGGTTATCTTATCTGTTATGTTATACTTCATTATTTTACACAAAAAATTATACCACAATAGTAAAACGTATGACATAACGTCCAAATTCTTATAACAACAACAAAAAGAAAACACCGAGAGAGAAATAATATAATATTAGTAAACAATCAACTAAAATAAACTAAATTTAACTAATTTAACAAATTGAAATGGAATTAGAATTGGAATCAGAGTTAGAAATGAAAATCTAATAAACAGAATAAAGTAAAATAAAGTAAATAAAATAAAATAAAGTTAAAGTAAAATAAGATAGTAGCACCAATTACATGTATAAGTACTACAAGGTCATGCAAGATGAATGAATGAATAAGTAGCTTTGTTTGGAAAAGATTTGAAGTGACATCAAAATATGTAATTGTACAAGTAAATATTATTCATTTTAGGTAATAATTTAATTTTTATCTTTTAAATAATTTTATAAAATTTATAAATTGTATAAATTGTATAAATTGTATAAATTTAATTTATAAAATACACAATAGTTAAAGGAAACTAAATTTGATTGATAACTTTAGTATAGAACAGGTCAAATATCAGATATATTTACTTTGATCTTTCTTAATGTTTTATTTATTTTATTTTATTTTTATAACCAAAAGAAATTTTGAAAGAAAAGTGAAAGATATTAAAATGAGAGAGTGAAAAATGCGGCGAGAAGTGGCGAAGGAGTTATATATGTTATTTTTAATTATTGCAAATATTATAAAATATTATTCATTCAATGATTTTTCTTGATTGTCGCACCTTTTGTACCCATTAAGCTGCGGTTTGTATACATTAAAATCTTCGCTCCAAATGACATTTATTCGAAATGCATAAATAAAATAAAATAATGACTAAACAAATAATTTATCACATGACTATGTGATTATATAGGCTCCAAAAAAATTTGTAAGCTTCCATTCTATTAAAATCTCTTTTCTTTTTTTTCAATTTCTTGTTTTTCTCGTAAAAAAAACCGTTTTTTAACAATATCAATAAAAACAAACATGACTTCGAATAGTTCTTCGAATGACAACTCTTGTCAAAACTGTATATCACTAAGAGCACTACTTGAACAAAAAGAAGCTATCGTAACTAAATATCAAAAAATAGTTCAGTCTCAAAATGAACTTCTTCACGATTTAACGCAGAAAAATAATTCGGGAGGATCATCCACCCATAAGAAAATTAATTATCACGGATCTAGAAGAATCACTTCTTCATCTTGTAGTCCAAATGGCGATACTATAAAAAATAAACATTATGGAAAGCAAGGTCAATATATTCACTTTTTTTTTTTCTTTTTCGATAAATTTTTTTAAATTTTTAAAAAAAATTTTATTGTTAAGCAATCATCATCACATCATTGTTTGATATTTCTTGATTTCCTTTTTATGGATATCGATTTTTAATTTGATTTCCTAATTAATTTAATTTTATTTCAACTTTATTATTATTATTATTTATTATTATAGTGCAAGTTAATAATTTTCGAGCCTTCGTTGGATCTGTTACGGAAGATATTGATGAAGAATCTTTAAGGAAAAGTCTTGAAGAAGCCTTTGGGGAAGTAGAAAATATTGATATTATACCAACAAAAGTATATTTTTGATTTTATAAAATTCTTCTTCTCAACATTTTAATTTAAAAATTCATATATATACATGAGACTAAATGAGAAGTGATCCATTAACAGAATTGCGCATTTGTCGATTTCTCACCAATTTCGTACCACCAAGCTGTTAGCATCGGGGCTGTGATGTAAAATACACGAAATAATTCTAATCTTATCTAATTCCTAATGTTTTAATCTTTGTAATTTTCTTCTAATCGAAGTCAACATAATGCATATATTTATTTTTAATAAATTCTTTCTAGGGTAAATGGTGTCACTCTTAGCGTCGAGAGAGTCAGAAGACATAAATCACGAAAGTAAACTTTTTGATTCTTAACAAATCTTTGCGGTGGTCACTCTAAATTGACGAATAATATAAAATAACAAGGTTATAATAAGGTGATAATAAGACGTTGATTTAAATACATATACATATATATATAATGGAAAAAATAACAATAATGACCACATAATAATAACATAACAAAAAAAAAAAAAAGAAAAAAGAAAGAACGAGACAAAACTAAGCAAAACCAAAAAAAATTCGGTTCGATATATATATATATATATATAATGTTTACAACAACACAATATCATTTCCGATCTTTTGCAGAATTTAATATCGCAAAGAACAAAGAAATATCAAAAAATATCGACTTTTTTTTGTTAAAATCAATCTCTTTCAGCGATTTTTATTCGTTCAATTCGTGAATCCGTTATTCGTTCGTTCGTTAATTGTTCAATTGATTGATTCAATTGTTTGCTTTGTGTGATCATTTGAACTTTCATTATTTGAATAATAAATTTCTCTTGAATGAATTATAATATTGCTAGTTAAAAATTGGTGAAATTGGTGAAATTGATGAAATTTTCTTTATTAGACTTTAATCATTTAAAAATTGAAATTTTTATATCGGTACTTGGATCCAAATCGAATATTTTTCTGCATTTATGTTTATTAACACGTGTAAATCAACTTTTATTAGAAATTTGATTTTATAATAATAACATTTAAACAATTTGTATATTTTTATAAACATGTATTAAAATTTTAAACGGAATCTAATATAATCTAACAAATGTTTTTATACTCTTTGTCTAATAGACTTTAAAATTATAAATGATGACTCTGCATATCATATATTTCAAAATTTTATAATTCAAAATACAAGTCGATGCGAAATTTAAAAGGGTTAAGGTAAAAGTCCTTGTAAAGTAGGTATAAAATTTAAATTATATGATTATATCAAAAGAATTTTTTTAAATATGAAAATTGATAATTCAAATTACAATAGAAATATCTCAATTTTTTTAGCTTCATAATTAACTTGAAATCCCGATGATCTGGTTTAGTAGTTCAAACGCTGATCATAACCTAATATAAGTTCAGACATTGTGAAACGATCTTTCAAATTCTGAACTATATGAATTTTAAACCAATGACAATTTTTTGATATCCAAGAAAAATCATGGAGATGAATTGGGTGATTATATTTCAGATGATTTGTGAATATAAATTCATCGATAATTCGGAAAGGCTGAAGATGAAGAATTGAAGAAAATTTCGAGGTTTTTGATAATGTTTTGAAATTTAGGCGACTTCTAAAGCAATTGAAAAAAAAAAATTCGAATCAGGATATTTAATGTTATAATTCTTTTAATTACATGAACAACGTTAGAGAAAACATGAGGATTCATATAAATTTTAATTAAGTAGCTCATAATTTTTAATAATTATTGTGATCGAGAATGGTCAATAGTTCGCATACTTTCACCTCCACTGAAAAACTCTGTTAGGGTAGCCTAATTTGCATTATATTAATTAAGATTATCAGAGAGTAATATCGAAATTCTTCAAGAATTAGTGAAATTTGATTCAAATATTCATATAGCATGGTTTAACACTTGGGACAATATGAGTTGTCTTTCGTCATTTAGCGCCAAAAGATGGTGTGATGCCTTATGGAATGTATGGAATTGGAAGAATTATTAAGTATGTTTATTTTTGTTTTAGTTATTATTATTATTTTTTTTTTGTTTATTTTAGTTTTAGTTTATTATTTCTTAATTTTTACGAACTTTATATATTTTATTACGGAATTTATCCACTCATACCAGTAAATATATCAATTTTTTATCAAATTCTATTCATAAGCTATTTACAGAGCAATTGGATGTGATTATCACAAGAATTTACGTTTAATTTAATAAAATCTCACAAGCTATTGAACTTTTTAATAGATATAATCTGAGTAAACCAATTTCGGAAGATACAGTTTCTGAAGAAAGTTTTGGATATCATTAAGAGAGGTTGCAAGGAAGATTGGAAGAGAAGATGAAGTACAGTGGGATACCGTTACAGATGATAGAGAATATGATAGAGAATATACTGGAGATGAATATGAAGATGATGTGATGAAGATGAAAATGCAAATAAGAGAGATAATTCTATATTATCTGCTCGGCTTAATGGCGTTTTTAAATCAAATTCATCATTACCTTTAGAATTGAGATTAAATTTTGTCAATGTAGAATTGAACTTGAAAAAAGAAAGGTAAGAAGAAATTTAATTATTTCATTTATTTTTCTGTTGATGAATCTGCATGTATTGTTACTTTACATATAATTTTTTGATGTCAAAAATTATGTAGATTTGTAATATGAATTGGATATTAATTTTTATAATTTTCTTTTAAAAAACAGACGAGTAGCCCAACTGTTTGGTTGCGAATGGTATCATGAATTAGGAGATTTAGGTAATAATAATATCACAATAGTCATACCTTTATTTGTAATTATTTTGTAATTATTTTTGGTGAACTCGGATTCATTTTTTTTATGTATTTATTTTCTAGCGATTGAAGAAATGCCAGATTATTTAAATGTTAAAATGGCACTTGCTGAATCATATGAATCTTGAGTAAAATTCTAAAGCTTTTAATTCAGGTCTGAATTATATGAAACAATAAAAATTTATCAAAAAGTTTATATATGATTTGGATGTTTTCTTGTATTGAGATTATATACACATAATTTCTAGCATGTTCCAGTTTCTGCTTGCAATTAATGGTAATCAATTTGATTCTTTATAAAAGATACTGCTCACCCTTCTACAAAATAAAAAATAATAAAGCATCACGGTATAATTAATAAAAGTTTACAAAAGCAGATTCAAAATAAAATTACTTAACTTTAATAAAAATCTCCACGATTAATTTCTAATCGGATTTTCCTCGCATAGATGCACCTTTTAAATTTCCAAGAAAACATGCCTTTTATGGTTCTCCCTACTTTGTTTTTCTCTCCCGAAAACAAACCTCTATGTATGGGAATTGTCGTCGCATGTTTCTTTTTTGTACTATGTTGTGCAAAAGATCAACAATGAATTCTCCGCGCGTGATGAGAAAATTGGCAAAAAAAATTCCCGTGATCGTTTTTGGTTATTTTTTTGATAAATCAAATACGCGTGACAAAAATGGTCATTTTTTGATATGTTTATAATTGTTTTATTTATAGATGCATCAAAAAAATAACTAATCGTCACATAACCATAAATATATCAAAAACAATACTAATGAGACTATCATTTCTGTATACCGTGACAGTTTCTATCGCGTGACTTAATGTATAAACAAGATCGAATCTTGTGCGCGTTTTTATCTTGCTCTTGACAAAACGTTCAATACTAACATCTATGGTACGAAGTTGATTAGTTTACCTTATGTTAAATTAAATACTGAACTTTCTTTCTTCCATAGACACCAAAAACAGAGATAGATTCAGTACATGAGTACTTTAATCGAGACTTCTTCGAGTGGAATATTTTAGATTTCCTAAAATTTTGTGATTTGCAAGGCTTTGACCAAAAGATATATGCTTACCTCAAATCTCTTGAGTTAATTTCCAATAATTATTATGGACAGAAGGGCCAACGAGCAAAACACTTAATTAATAGATATAAACAGGCGAGTTAATTTTAGTTATTTGTTTAAAATGTATTGTGGCGTGGTATGGGTCTCTTATCATTCAAGTCTGCGGGTCGAGCTACAAAGTTAGTGTCGGGGTACGGCCTTTGACACTGACCCCCATCGGAACTGGAAGAGACCTGCATAGTTTTCTCTTTCTGTTTGAGGTTGCGGGCTGACCTGTGGGATAAATTGAATAGAATATATAATTATAACATTACTAATCCCTCAAAATGTTTCTAGGATGATAAACCAGATTATTATTCTGCAAGAGATTGGAGAGAATCTCACAAGTTCCATAGCCCAACTTTCACGATAGGAAGCGTAGGAAACTCTGGGGACATAAGTGATGATGTTCACTTTAATTTGTCTGATATTACTTCAAAAAAGAAAACTGGAAAATGATCAGAAAGAGGTACTGGTGAATATTTTTAACTTGAAGTTAAGAATAAAATCGGCCGAACTAATTATTTATGCTTTAATACTTTTAGGACGATTACAAAAATCGGGACGGGAAAAGAACGAGAAGAGGAAGGAATATACTGAATTATCAAGGATTTTTCGGTGAATCAACAGATAAAGACAATAATACCCAGAAAATTTCTTCTCAAGAAAATGAACAAGAAACGACGGACGAGGGTTCCCTTCAAGATAATGAAGTGGAAACAAGTGAAAAGGAATTGGACATTAATTCTTGTGGAAATACATCTCAAAATAGCAAAAAAAAACATATTCGAGACAATGTGGTAAGTATTTAATAATGCATTTTAACCAAGAGATTTTTAACACAGTTCATTTTTTTCTGTTAGATAGCCGACATTTTAGGAAACACTATCGATTACTCAGATACTACAAAAGAAATTTTGTTGATTTATAAAGAGCAAGATCATGATGGCGATCTAATTGATCTTCGACTAAACTCACCCTTTTTCAAAAATCTCCCAAAGTCGACAGCAAGAGCATATCTAAAGGAGATGGATGATATAACTGAATCATTAGTTCCTAAAAATGTACATGATTTTCTTGTGCAACTCTTTTCAAAAAATTTAACCTCCGAAGGTTGGGATCGTGAAGTCGATGATTTAAGATCTTCGGAACAAAATGATCCCATAATGAATGCTGTAGTACGAGTTATACGTCGGACCTTGCCACAATTGTATGTTAGATATTAATTGATTTATTTTTTTTTTCTTTTTAGATTCTTTAAATATATATATATTTTTTTTTTCTTTTGCATAGCATCAAGGCATTCTCGCTTGAGGATCAAAATCCTCTTTTAAATATTACAACCATTGAAGGGGCTCATCTTAATTCATTCATTCATCCATGTTTCGATGCCTTTTTATGGTATATAGCAAATGTACATTATGAGTATGGAGAGATTACATTGAAAAGGCACGTTAATAAAAATCGTGCCGATGGTGCAGGGTATTTGACAGATGCTAATAAGCATCAGCTTGTCTATGTAAAAGATTCAAGACTGATAGCAAAGGATGATAAGGAAATTGCCGATCTAGAAAACATTACAACCAACCTAAAGAATATGTTTGGGAAAATTGTAAAAGAAACTATTAAGAAAAGAAGGCCCCTCCCTAAAAAAATTTATTTATTTGGAGGACAAAGCTTTCTTCTTCGAATACATTTATTTTACATTGATTTTTGTGGTATATATTTCGTTTACTGAAAATTTATGTTATAAAAAGTACTGATAATTTGAACCAAATATTAATTTAGGTATATATAGATTAAATGAGGTTGATAACGCTAGTCTTCCTCGAAAATTTTCCGAAATGAAAGATTTCGTTTATTTTTACGAATGTATTTTGAAGTGGGCAGTATGTATTAACACAGAATATTCGTTATATCATTTAATTTCCTTCAATCTTACGTGCTATTTATGAATTTAGTTATTGGTTCGAAATGTTACCGAATCCTTTGATCTAGCAAGAACAGAACCGAGACCATCACGACTTTCTTTCGCAAATACCCTATTTCAACTGAATGGTTGATTATATTGTAGAAGGTTTATGACAAAATTCAACGGGTGGCATACATTCAACGGATTAAATCATTTATATCAAATTCTATTTGCATCGCAAGTTAGAAGGAATACGAATTTTTATACTTGATCACATAATCTGACTTCGTGATGCGCGTCACGATCTCAAAATTGGCACTTTTTTTATATATGCAGTATTGTAAAATGTAATAAATGCAACATGTAACAAATAAAGATTTTGCATTATATACAGTATCGTGTGAACGAATAATTTTTTTTTGTTCCGGATTACGATTTTATACTTCCACTGATATGAATTTGGTTGTGTCTGTGTCTTTAAAGTTACGCATATTCGATAATAGCCAACGAACGCTCTTTTGATTTCTTTTTATATGGAGTAGTAGAAACTCCCATATTAGCAAGTTTGTTTCGGAAAAAAAAATTTACTTGTAATAATGCAAATTCTAAGTTTTATTTTTTGCCGAAGTATAAATCATATATTAAAGTTAATAGATGCTAATAATCGATCACGCGAAACATTCTAGAGATGAAGAAGTATAATTTTTTTTCCCGTTACCTAAATCATAATAATATCCTGCTTCATCGTCATCATCAGAAAATGTAATATTTATATCATCATTATCAGAGGAATTTGAATCGTCATTATCTTCATCCTCATTATCATCATCATCATAGTCATTCAGTTGATATATTTACCGAGGCTTCTAATAATTTTTTCGAATCTTGATTGTTAGATGCAGAGGCTTCCTCATCTTGATCATTTTCTGGAGATGATTCAAAGTAAGATGAATCAGAAGCTTGAGTTTTTGGTAGATATACTTATCTCAGTTTCCGGCTTTACCTTATCTTTGAATATATAATCTGTTTAATACATTTATTTGATATATTTTGATTTCTTATGTTAATACCTTAGTTTGTTTGTTTTAAAGTCCTCAAGGTTCGTAGGAAACAACGAGCTATCAATAAAGCCAAAAATGCTCAAGAAAATTTGGCATCAATACATTCACCGTCAGCAGATAATTTGGATCATTCTATAACGGGAGTATGGTTCTTTGATAAATAAATCAAGTATCAGAATCTTCTATCATGCGTAAGCTCAAGAACGAAAAAGGAAACAGAAAAATAAAAAAGAAATGCAAATAGACTCGAACGTTTATATTCTCGATAGAAGGATGAAGATCAGCAATCTGCTAATGGATTATTGAAAGGTGCCCAGAGTTCTATTTGCAGAAAGCAATTCTATCCTCAAGATAAAGTAATTTGTTCATAAATTATTTGTTGCTTTGTCAAGTTTATAATAGTTTCACATACCCTTTAGTCATAGCCAGTATCATGTAAGAAATTTGGCCGCCGAAGAATTTGGCGCCAACAATTGGCATTAAAGTCAGAAATCGCAGACGATACTCTTAAAGAACAACCATGGTTAAAGATTACAATGGAAAATAGAATGTTAAATATATATATATATATATATGGTGAAATTGGAGAAACAGATGATTGACCAACGGTATTTTGTTCATTTTAATTTATTAATTAATTATTACACCATAAATTGAATATATTAATATTATAGTATGTATGTTTATTTGGCTATTACGAACACGACATACCTAGAACAGTTTCTTGAGCCAAAGTTTTTAGGCAATTGAGGAAAATTTCTTGGGATTCTTTTTAATAATTCATTTATTTATTTATTTTTTTTTTAAAAAAAAAATAGCTTGGGTTTTATATACTTGTAGTATTAGTGCGTGATGACTACGCGATAATAATCTTTGAGTTTATAATATGTAACATATCCATTTTTAACTAATTTTTATTAAGCAATTAAATCTAAATATTGTTTTTGATATTAGTGGCACAAATTCATTATCATATTATGTGGTTGCTAATTCACAGAAATATATTCTTAGTCAAGTTTAGTTAATTGATACTGATGGGTATTATTCAAGATAAGTTGGAAATTCCAGATAAGAAAACTGATGCATTAATGGCTTTGTATGGTCATATATACTGACGTGTGCTAGAAGTTATTTAGCAGCTATTGGGTATGTATTATTCGTAACCTTTTTTTTAAAAAAGGGAATTAATGATTTTTTTTTTTCTTAGAAAGTAGTTGTCAGTTTATCTGTAGGCTGGCTCGTTTGCGTCGGGCAATACAAAGACAATTAGATAATTAGACATATTCAAGTTGTTCGAGTAAAATATTTATAGAATTTAAAAAATTAATAGGGGTTTACATTTTTGTATAGATAATCCAGAAGCTGAATATAATCTTGCAGAGCTTTTAATCACATAGGTTCGTTTAAATTATCCCAGCCCTATTAAATAATTTTTATTTATATCGCATTATGAAAAATCTCTTATTGCAAGTAATAAAAAAAAGAAAAGTAATAAATGTGGATTTTAAATTCATTTATTAGAATTCAAGCAAGGCATTTATTTTGAACAAATTTTTATTTTTTATTTTGTTTAATATTATAGGGTGATGATAATGGAGAAGATGGAAAAGATCTCAGAAAAGAAGCAGTATATAATTTATCCCGGGATTAGCAAATACAAGTGCAATAACTATATTCAAAATTATTAAGAATAGTATCAGGAAGAATGGTATTTGAATATTAGATGTTCAACGATATCTTGTGCTGAAGTAGGAAATAATATTCAACATGCAACTCCAATGAGTTGCTTTTCTATTCTAAATAATTTGTTGACCTTTCTTCATTGATATGTTTCAAAATTTACCGTGAAACTAGTGACCATATTTAATGCTCCATTTTAGGGTTAAGGGTAGGGTTAGAGTGATTCAACGACGAGCTTCATGAAAATAATTATCACTAAATTATCCATTTAAAGACTTTTACTGATCAATCTTGTCAGTAAGATCATTTTGAATAATGGAAAGTTTCTTCTCCCCTAAAAATTCTTCGTCATTAATGATATGTCTTGTCTTCTTTTATTTTGCAATATATTCTCCCACTAATTTCTGAACGGTTTTTAAATCGATAATATTATTGAGTGGACACAATCAATAGAATTTTTATGGTATAAGCGAGGTACTTTTTCAGTTTATTTATTAAACAATAAGTTTGAAATGTTTTGAAATTATTTTACTGATAATTGAATTACTTTTGACATATTCTAAAATTTATTTGAAATGCTATAATAATTAAGATGATGTTAAAAGAATTCATCAGGAGTAATTTTATGACCGGCATTTATTACAAGCGTAGGAACAATTTGCTTAGAAGCAGTATATATTTTGTTTACTTCTCAATACAGAAAGCAAATTTATTTTATCGCCTCTTGAATTAAACAAGAAAATCTGGTCTGGTTGTTTTACTAATATACACAACAATTATTTTTTTATTTAACATATCAGGGGCGCCAAAATATTATTCTATTTTATTTTATTGTTTGGGGCATATAAAATATGGTGAATTGAGCGTGTGCACATTTACATGCAATTTATAGTTTATACGCAATTTACGTGTTGTTCGTCATGCAATATTTTCATGAAAGCAAGCGAAGAAACTTATATTTACGCGATTGATATTCTTTAAAATCCATAAACGTGATAATCTAGCTCAAATAAGATGCCGTTGTGTAATTTGTGTCATATAAATGATTTTCTTATTAATTAATACTCTTAATTAAGTTTGAATTTTCTATTTTTATTTGATCTTTTCCTCGGAATGATGCTTTCGACACGGAAATTATGTAAAATGCGCAATTGGATGATGATTGGTATTAGTAAGTTGATTGATATAATCTGTTAAATTTTTTTAAAAAAATCTTTTTTTATCTTCTGAATTATTTATCATTATATTATTTTTTTTCGCGGCTTCTCTAATACGTGAAAAATAAAAATAAAATTAGAAAGAAAATTTCATCTTTCAAAGAATGCAAAGATGTCCGATAAAAGTTCATCTAAAAATCTAGAAAAATTACCAACCAATATTAATAAATCCATCGATATTCTTGATTCTAATTCACCCATTTCATCTCTTTTAACAAATATCAAAAAGCCACTGTCTAAAAACAAACAAAAAGAATTATTAAAACAATCTCAGCACAACGAAGCAGTATTACATTCATTTTCAGAGTTTTATTCTCAACAGTATGGCGAAGAAAGATGGAAATCTTTATTTCAAGCACTTTCAAAACCCATTAAACACGTTGCAATGATAAATAATTTTGCAAATTTAAAAAATGTTGACATGATTTTGGATCCTACAATTCAAAATACTTTTTCAAATTTTGAAAATGAGAAAAATATTGAAAGAGAAAATTATCTTGAAAAAGTAAAATTTCTTGATTTACCTTGTTATTCAAGTTCAAAAAGATTTTTATCACCATTTAGAGATGAGAATGGAATAATGGTTCATTACCTTTTAGATGCCACATCGATTATGGCAGTCAAAGCACTTCAAGTGAAACCTACAGATAATATACTTGATTTATGCGCAGCACCCGGTGGAAAATCTCTCGTAATTTTGCAATATTTATTATTAAATTCAAAAAAAGACGAAAGAAATTTTGGTGGTGGGGATATTTTTAGTAGTGGGTTCCTTACATCAAATGACATCTCGTCAGATCGACGTCGTCGACTCAAACAATTAATCACTGATTATATTCCATCAGCATTTCTACACAAAATTAAAATTACATCCGAATTCAAATCATTTTCAATTTCAACTTTTGATAAAATTCTTGTTGACCCTCCATGTTCATCTGAAAGATACTTACTACAGAATCTTAGTGATTTCTCAAAATGGAAAGTATCAAAATCTAAAATCAATTCAAAGAGGCAATATATGATATTATTAGATGCAGTTAAAGGGTTACATGTTGGTGGTATTTTAGTTTATGTAACTTGTTCTATTAATAAATTTGAAAATGATGAAGTTGTGAAAAATATTTTGAAAAATAGTTGGGTACCTTTAGAAGAAATAGGTGAAAATTATAAGTGGGAAATTGGTGAAAGGACGGAGAAAGGATGGATTATATTGCCGGATAAGTGTGATGGATGGGGACCTTTATATTTCGCTATACTTAAAAGGGTTGGTGATGGTAATTTTAGAAAGAAAGGATTCAAAAAGATTGATAGAAATTCTAGATTTGAAAAAGAAAAAGGTCTATACATTGATGATGAATATAACGAAGATGAGTTGGATTAAGCTTTCGTGACTTTTTGTTTTATTTGTGTATAATAATAATTTTATAGAAAAATAATGACTTTTTTTCAAACATTTTTAATATAATTTATGAACAAATTTTTTATAGTCGATATTTTTCCAAACGATTCTCTTGAATTTATAGAATTAAATACAAAGACTTTTTATTTAAAATTCACAATTTTATTTTTATATATTTTTCTTTATAATACAAAAAAAGGATAATATATTATCATGAACTTTTTTGATAGAAATAAGACGATAATAATTAACTTATCCCCAAATTTCTTAATAAAAATTTACAAGAAAAAATTAACATGTAACTTTTTCAAAAATTACCCTAAAGTTGATTCGCGCTTCTTCCACCTCTCCTTAATATTCTTTGAACCCTCTCTCTCTTACTATATCTAATTAATTCAAGTTGCACTCTATATCTTTCACAAATTCTAGTTTTTTGTAAAGCTGCTTCTTGTGTTTCTTCAAGCCATTCGTCTCCGTTAATAGTTTCAGGTAATTCGTGAAATTCATTGATTGTTTGTATTACATCAGAAATCAAGTAATATGTTTTTCTTGGCTGCGGTGGGGATTGAAGTGGCACTAGACAAAGTAATATTTGTTCAGGTACTTTCCATTCGTCGACTAAAGAAGAATGGCTAAATATTTTTTTTTTTTTTAAAATAAAAAAAAAAAAATGAAAATTAATTTTATCAATTATTATTAAGGTAAATCACTACTATATATTATATTAATTATTTTTTATTCATTACCTAACGGTTTTCTTTTCCAAACAAGAAAAACAGCAATATGACGAAAATTCCCAGTGTAAGGCTAATTTAAACATATCTTTTTCCCCACAATATTGACATTTTTGTGTTACAGCCAACAACCAATTGTACTGTTGTTCGCACATTCCATCGGGTGGAGGAAAAGTTGGAAGAGAAAAAGATTGAATTCTTGAATTTTTCCAAACTTCTTGAGTGGCAGGTTTTTTTGACCATAATAATGACCTATACCTTTTACACACAGACGCTAATGAATAAAGATCTTTAGGATGAAGATAGCTACAAATCTCAAATATGATTTTTGAGGGAAGTCGGGCTGCCTTATTTTGCGCATTTTTTGCCATAAATCTTTGATAAGTTTTCGGTATGGTAGTTGACTTAGATTCAACTTTATCATCCAAGTCCTTCGCCATGCTGAATAATGATTTTAATAATATACGAGAAAGAAATTTCAACGATTTGAAGAAAAATTGAATCGTTCAATGAATTATTAATGGATCAAAACCAAGTTTAAACAAAATCTTTCGACAGATAACTACGGGAACTCTATTTAAGCATTCCCAATTCTATATTCAAACAAAAGATCCTGCTTTGTTATCCACGACACCACTCATGCATTGCTTCAGCCCAGCTTAAAAGGGCACGTGGGAAAGAAAATACCATCAAAGGAAAAACTAGTTTGTCATACGTTGCGTATATAGTCTTTTCGGAATAACGGTTTCTATTTGAGGAATTGATTTCTTTCATCTTAAGCAGTTGATTTCGAAAAAATTATATGCCGACACCCTGGAGACAATAAGAATTCTAACAATGATGACTTTTTTTGATATAATTAAGCTTGATTGGTATCTTATTACGCTATAATGCATTCATATATTGGTAACAAAAAAAAATTTTTTTTAAAAGAATCACGACATATCACAGTTAATATCACAATGGTATCTACATCCCAAACGCTGAATATCAGCTTCTTGTACATTTTGAAGTTCTGAAAGACTAATAATATAAATTTAATTTGGTTATACATCCAAATGGAGTCTTATTTTCGCGCGACAATAAATCATTCCTTTTCGAGTCGAGTTGTAAAAAAAAGGAATCGATCTTCGTCCCAAACTGACGATATTATTATTAATTCATTTCTTGGCTTAGAAGTTTCTTGGCTTAGAAGGAATTGTTCCAGGATATGAAATGTTGAAAATTTATATTTGGATAAAAATAGTTATGAGTATTTAAAATATTCTCACTTAATTTTTTGATAAATGTCCAGATTTAGGGGTACGTAAAGTTTTATTAATGCATTGCATTTTCGTAATTGCATATACACGATATTGTTCTTACATGAATAAATACGTAGAAAATCAGAAAAAGAAAATAGTACATACAGGGTTTTCAAGATGAATTTGTTTCAAAAAGAAAGCTTTCATTAGCGAAAAAAAGATTCTTTATAGAGTATTTATAGACATACAATTAGAACCAAAGGGTTAGGATTGCTTACATATAATCAAATAATAAAAGTTATATTTTTTTTCTCTATTGTATTTTTGAATAATTTATGTCGATATTGTTTATTAAAATATTTTCTTTAAAATAACAAAATGAACTTTGCTTTACACTATTATATAAAAAGTTTTGTAATAAAATAACAATCTTAATTATTAAGTCATTAATAAAGTCAAACTAGTAAAAAAAAGCTCTGAAACAAATTCTGAGGTTTATATGGTACAATTGTGTGTGTAACAAGAAACGGCAACATCAAAACAAAATAATTTAGGTTTTACATTATTTTATGAATTTATTTCAATTTACAAAAAAAAAAAAATGGCATTAAAATTCTTTGATAAATTTCTCAAAATTTTACTGATCTCATTAATGACAAAGATGATTACAATGTGATCATTGAAGTTGAAAATAAAGAAAAAAACTTTTACTGCACACTCTAATGTACTTAAATGTCGCTCCTCTTATTTTCGTAAAGAATTGGATACTATTAATCCAAATGAACATAATGTCAAGACGATTATTAAACCTGAAATTTCTTCTCAAATTTTTGATATTATTCTCATGTATGTTATAATTAAAATTGATATAAGATATTATGATTTAATTAACGACAATTTAATTATTGTAATCTAATTATATAATTATATAGATATATTTATGGTGGTATGGTTAATTTAGAGAATATTGAAGCAAGAATCATTTTTGACTTGATGTTAGAAGCAAGCAAATTTGAACTCGAAGAATTATCCAAGAAACTAGAAACTATTCTTATCGAAGATAAAGCTTCTTGGTTAAAATCTCACTTTTCTCTTGTATATCGTTCAATTTTTATTAATAATAACTTTAAAGATTTAGAAAAATTTTGCAATGACATTGTTGTAAAGTAGCCCAATCTTATTTTTGATGCTGAAGATTTTACATCTCTCCAAGAATCTGCTTTGGTTACTCTTCTCAAATGAGATGATTTACAAGTAGAAGAAGTCAAAATATGGGAATATATTATCAAATGGGGAATTGCTCAAAATCCTACTCTTCCTACTAACATTGATGAATGGAATGAGGATAATTTTTTAACTTTAAAGACTACTCTCCAACATTGCTTACCATATATTAGATATTTCTATATTTCTGGTGATGATATTTGGAATAACGTAGAACCTTACCAGAAAATTCTTGATAAACAACTCTGGAAAGATTTAATACAATATTTTGTCTCCCAATGAACAAAAGAAATCAGTTATTTTACCAGCAAGAACAATTTTGATTCCTGAATTACCTTCTCATTCAAAAGAACCTTTTTCAATCATTATTTCTGATGATCATGCTGCAGAAATTTCTTCCTGGATTGATCGAAGGATGCTACTTATCCTTCAACAAATTATCAATACGAATTTCAGTTAATTTTACGAGGAAGCAAAGATGGATTTTCTCCTCAAACGTTTTGGGGCATGTGCCATGGTCATGTTGGTACAGTAGTTGTTATCAAAGTCAAAGGAACTGATGAAATTTTGGGTGGTTATAGTCCTTTTTTAATGTAGGGAATGATAGTTTCATTTTCTCATTGAAAAATGGTAATGTTCAAAATTCAATTCTTAGTAGAGTAAAGGTACCTAAATATGCATTGTTGTATTTATATTATGGTCCTTATTTTGGAAATGATCTTTATATGTACAGTAACAATTTATTTTTGTCTGGTAATAATTATTATCAGAACGTCTAGAAATTTTTCAATTGTTGATTATGAAGTTTTCAAAGTAAATAGTAAAACTACCTAGAATTTGGTTTTTAAGTAATATTTATTGCTTTATTCTTTATATTTTATCATAGTGAAGTTATATTTATTAATTTATTAAATAAATTTAAAATTAAAACTTTTTGGATCTTTTACAATTAAATGCATATTTAAAATGATTATTGATCATAATAATTCATTGCATTTTTTATTTAAAAATTTTTTTTTGACTTTAACCTTTGGAGAAATAAAATTTACATACAGTATATCGTCACTATTTATTTAAAATAAATAATCATATAGAAATTGCTCTTCAAAATAATTTTTATTTTTTAAAAATAATCGATTTCTGAATTATCGTAGCGCAAATCAAAAACGCGTAAAACACACGACAAAAAAAAATAATGAAAGAATGTTAAAATTTTTTATAATTTAAAATTTTAAATATGAAATATTTAATATATTTTAACAATTTTTAAAAATTCAAATCTAATAAATCAAAATATTGACTTTTTTTGTTTTCTGTAATGAAAATATAATTATTAATTTATAACTTTGAACTTACCTTTTTACCTTCATCACATTGTCTTCTTCATAGAGGCCAGCCTCAATGATAACACGCGAGAATGGTGACGGAATAAAGTGCTCAGAGCAGAGAAGTGGTTCATATAACATGAAACCACCCTTCCTCACCCCACAGAAGAGTCATTTGTTATTATAATAAATAACATCTATTCATTTTTATTAATTACTATATGCGTGATCATGCAACTATTCTTTATAAACATATAATGATGTTATATTTTCCCAAAATACTCCATAATTAACGATGATATTCTTGTAGTTTTTCATAAATAAGTCCAAGTAGAAATTGTTCTTAGGTTAATAAGATTTTTTTTTGATTCCTATATATGTTTTTTTATTACTTTGGAAAAATGAATAATTCATTTCATTTAAGTTACATAAATAAAAAAATATTAGCCTTAGTTACTGAATACTTCCTTGTGAAAGGAAATTATTTTTACACTATTATATGATTGATTTATGAAAAACGTCAATTAATGCTATTTTGGGAAAATACTATGAGGATGTTGTATGAATCATCTCTCCAAAGTTATTCCAGTCCAGAAATGCTCGTCATTCTTGACGTGTTACCATTGGGACCTTATGAAAAAAAGAGTATGATGAGGATAAAAAAAAGGTAGTTTAAAGTTATAAATTAAAAAATTGCATTTTTACAAATCAATATTCGATTTGCTAGAGTTGAATATTTAAATAATTTTAAATATTATGTAATATTTTCATATGATGATATATTTTATGTTATATTACATTCTTCGTTCTTTTTTTGACGCGTTTTTGATTTGTGATAATAAGTTAAAATTAAAATAAATAACATATTATTATTATAAAGAATAACCAATTAAAGTTATGTTCCTCATAATACAATGTCATAATAATGTGTATAATACAACTATACTTTTTTTTTAAAAAAAAATTAAATTATTCTTTTAATTTAAACTATAATAAAAAAAAAAAAATAACAGCCCTAGTCATGGAATTACTTCCATATGTAAGATTATTTTTCGACTATTATTCTGAAGAGCAATTTATCTATTTTAATGATGATATATATACTAATTTAATTTTTCCAAAGTTAAATTTTTTAAAAAAATGGAATGAATTATTTATAATCATCCATTTTAAATATGCTTTAATTTAATTTTAATTTATTAATAAGTATAAATATAACTTAATTATAATAAAATATAAAGAACAGAGCAATAAAAACCAAATTCTAGATAGTTTTACTATTTACTTTGAAAACTTCATAATCAATAATTGAAAAATATCCGTTTGTTCTAATGGATTTTTCATAACAACCATTATTACCAGACCCAGTCCTTTGACTTTTATAATAACTACCGTACCAGCGTGACCATGGCACATGTTCCAAAACTTTTTGTGGGGAAAATCCATCTTTGCTTCCTCGTAAAATTAACTGAAATTCATACGATCAATCCAGGAGGAAATTTCTGCAGCATGATCATCAGAAATAATGATTGAAAAGGTTCTTTTGAACGAGTATGTACTGTAATTCAGGAATCAAAATTGTTCTTGCTGGTAAAATAACTGATTTCATTGGTTGATTAGGAGACATAAAATGTTGTATTAAATCTT